TCTAGCAAGAGCCAAAGCCAGACATCTCGACCATGTCAAGCAACGGCTCCGGACGGGCAGCCTGCAGGACAGAGAGTGGTGGAGCGTGATTAAACGAGTTGGAGGGGATGGCCGGGACAGCTCCATCCCAGTCCTGGTTGACCCCGATGGCGTGGAATGCACCAAAAGCCACGACAAGGCTAACGTCATCGGGAAGTACTTTGCCCAGAAGTGCAGCCTAGACGATGACTTTGCAGAACAGTCGGGGCCGTTCCCGCATGTCCGCCAGCGCACCGCAAATACACTTGCAACAGTCCACTTCCGCCAAGCGACCGTACGCCGGACACTCCGAGCCCTGAACCCAAGTAAAGCCACAGGGCCTGATGCAGTACCTGCTAGAGTGCTGAGAAAATGTGCCGACTCTCTGGCCCTGCCCCTATCCAAGCTGTTTACCCTGTGCTTCTGCAGTGGTCATCAACCTGCCATGTGGAAAGTTGCCAACGTCGTACCGGTACACAAGAAAGGCCCCAAGTCGAACCCCAGAAACTACCGACCGATATCACTACTGCCCATAATGTCTAAGTGTATGGAGTCCATCGTGAACCGCAGCCTGTCCAACTTCCTGAAGAAGAATGATATCCTTTCTCACAGGCAGTTTGGCTTTCGCACTGGACTGGGAACCTCTGATCTGCTGATTGCTCTTCAGCATGAGTGGAGCCTTGCAGCTGCCAGTGGAGGCCTCGTCAGGGTACTCGCAGTAGATATTGCGGGGGCCTTGGACAAGGTCTCGCACAACGGCGTCCTCCACAAGGCTGAGCGGTGCGGCATAAGTGGTCTCCTTCTTGCCTGGCTCCGGAGTTACCTGACAGAGCGCCACATCCGTGTCGTCATAGGTGGCCAGTCTTCACGGATCCACCGAATCCAATCTGGCGTGCCACAAGGCAGCATCCTCGGCCCCACCCTCTTCCTTCTGTAAGTCAACGACGCAGAAGACTACCTGCCTGATGGGGCGAAGCTGGCTGTATACGCAGACGACACAACTCTCTACAAGTGCATCACCACCCGACTCAGACTGCCAGAAGAGAAAGCAATCCTCCAGCAGGCAGTAGACTCACTGGCAACATGGGGAAGCAGGTGGAGGATCAAGTTCGAGCCCACAAAGTCGCAGGCATTGACCATCAGCCACCACCGCTCGCCAACCCCCCGAACGCAATACGCTTCCAAGGAGCAGTCGTGCCAGAAGTAGAGGAGCTAAAGCTTCTTGGCGTCACCTTCGACAGGCAGCTGACATTCCGCAGCCATATCCGACAGCTTGCAGTACGCGGAGCCCAGCGGCTCTGCTTCCTCCGTAAGGCATCGGCTGTGCTGGACCCAAAGAACCGGGCAATCGTGTACCGTGGCTTTGTCCGCCCTGTATTAGAGTATGGCATGCTGGTGTGGATGAGCGCAGCCCCCACCATCTTGGCCCGCCTCACTGCCATCCAGCGCCGTGCCCTGCACATAATTGGAGATGGATCATACCTCCCGAGCCTCGACATTCGCCGTACCGTAGCAGGGCTCTGCTTTCTGTACAAGCTGCACTTTGTGGAGGGTCCGGAAATGGTGAAAGCTATTCTGCCACCATCAGCAGCCGCACCGCAATGCCGCATGTCTACCCGTGAGACAACCAGATCTGCAACACATCATCCATCGCAACTCACCAGTATTCTTCCTCCCCAGGCACGAAACAACACGCTCTGCTCATTTCCCCACTCCCTCATCGCAATGTGGAATCAGCTCCCACCTACCCTTCTGCAGTCTCTCCCTTCTCGCAGAGGTATGCACACGTTCAAGAAAAACGTCAACGACCACTTGCGGCGCAGCAAGTGGGAGTGGGCCACAGACAGGCTATGATCTCTGCAAACACACCAGCCTAATTATACTGACCGCACTCCAGCTCCCTTCTACCCCTCTTTGATTCCCTTCGCTCACCCTAAAATCCGATTATCAGTTCACTCCATCTTCCTACGGTGCACTGCTTTTACTATTGTTTTGTCCTATCCCAATCTCAAATTCTCCCCATTATCGTTTGCAAAGCCGGTGCTCCCCTCTTGGATGCACATGTTTCTTTTCTCCTATGTATCGGCGCACAGGAGTAACGATGATTCCGAGACCTTTGGTCGGAGGAGTTACTTTTGCCCCGCCCCCACTTCCATCCAATATGCCACCGCCTCCGCTGTGCAGCATCTGATGGTACTGTGGTATTCAGTAAAAAAAAAAGAAAAAAAGAAAAAAAAGAAGCCCAGTATCATCAGCATAGCCGAACCAAGGAACATGAACCGTGCCACAGTCAAGAGTTCATCCGTAGAAGTCGGTAGCCATCAGCCAGTGTTGGTGCATGAGGTACTTATGGACATCTTCTTTGAACGTGTGGAGCCGCTTCAAGCTGAGTGGAGCCCTTACAATTTCGCTCGGCAAGCTGTTCCATACTGAGATGACAGAAAACGGGAAGGAGCGAGAAACATAGGCAGGTGCTCTCCTGTCCAGGACTTGCTGCAGCTGCACATGGTGCTGCTGGCCAATAGGGGGTTGACTCCGGGTGCGCCGAGCTTCTACATGGTTGGCTGGAGGGGGGATCATGGCGGTGAGCTGGGGTGGTCCTGGGATGCACTGGAGCTTGTGCAGGTATACCAGCCCAGATACAATTCGGCGGTGGCACAGGCTTTGGAGAAGGGCACCAGGGCCAATAATGGCCATTGCACGTTTCTGCACACGGTCGAGTCGGGCGAGGTGGCTGGATGCAGCTCCCATCCACACAAGGGGAGCATACTCAAGGATAGGTCGCACAAATCCCTTGTACGCACAAAGCCGGCCATGGTAATCTAACACACGGCAAACCGACGGAGAACACCCAGTCTCTGGCAGCCACGTGTCGCAATCGAGTGCAAGTGATCCCGGAATGACAGCTTGGCGTCAAATGTCACTCCAAGAAGCTTGATGGTGTTGGCTTCCGGAACCGCGATACCTCCAAACTTGATGTCAGGGACAGCAGGGTGTGTGGCTTTCGTAGTCATCAGCAGCTGTTGCGATTAAGAGGGCTCGAATCTGATGCGCCAGCGTTCTCCCCACTCTTCAAGACGCTTGAGGCTGGATTGCAAGGCGGCAGTCATGTCATTCATATTGTCCTGCGTGCGGATGAGGCTGTAGAGGGTTGTTTCGTCTGCAAAGGGTTGTTTCGTCTGCAAAAGAACTTAGTCGCGTCTCGGGAGACAAGCACTGATGCAGGTCAGACACATACAAGAGGAAAAGTGTCGGACCAAGGATACTGCCTTGGGGCACACCTGCTGTTATGGGCGCCGGGGAGGCTGAGTCGCCGTGGACCAGGACTGATAGTTTGCGGTACAGGAGGTAATCCTGCAGCCAGTGCAGCAGGCAGCCACCAATGCCAACGTTCTTGGCTTTGAAAATCAGTCCAGAGTGTGATACCCGATCAAATGCTCCTGCTATGTCCACCGCCACCATGTGAACGTACCCTCCATCGCTGACAGTCTTGACTCACGCAGTGTGCAAAGCAGTGAGGATGTCGCACGTACCTCTTCCTTGCCGAAAGCCATATTGATTGTCGGGCAGAATATTGAAACGCTCTAGATAATTCACGAGCTGCTTGTTTACTATACTCTCCATTACTTTTGACAGGATGGATAGTAGTGAGACTGGCCGGTAATTCTTGGGATCCGAGCGGGGCTCTCCTTGAAGACTGGAACCACATGGGCCAGCTTCCATTTGGTAGGCTGAACACCGTGGCGAAAGCAGAGTGAGAACAGTTTGGTGACTGGTTCTGCAAGCTCACTGGAACACTGAGCTAGGACTCTTGCTGGAATATTGTCAGGTCCTGTTGCCTTCGATGTATTCAGCTTGGCTAGACGGCGGCGTACATCAGCAAGCCGGAAATGGATGCGGTCAAGACTTCTACCCCTCTTTGATCCCCTTCGCTCAGCCTTAATATTCGATTATCAGTTCTCTCCATCTTTCTATGGTGCACTGCTTTTACTATTGTTTTTTCCTATCTCAATCTCAAATTCTCCCCATTATCGTTTGCAAAGCCAGTGCTTCCCTCTTGGATGCACATGTTTCTTTCCTCTCATGTATCGGCGCACAGGAGTAACGATGATTCCGAGACCTTTGGTCGGAGGAGTTACTTTTGCCCCGCCCCCATTTCCATCCAATATGCCACCGCCCCCGCTGTGCAGCATCTGATGGTTCTGTGGTATTCAGTAAAAAAATAAAAAAATAAAAAAGCTGGGTTAGGACCATTGAAAGTGGCATAGGTAAGTATAACTCCACACATGCAATAAGGCATGGTTATGTACTGCAGGTTTGTTGCCATTTCTGTGCAACTACTGCATGCAGGAATGTACGGGGAAACTACTATAGTGTAGTACTCTTTACTCTTTACTACCTGCATCAAGGTTATACCCAGAACCAAAGTGAAGGGGGAGGGGGGGGGGGATCATCGGACCCAAATGTTTGTGATATTACCGCCATTTTTGGCCGCAAGTTTCACCGACACCAGCACTAGTAGGCAATTGGCCAATTCCATTCCACGTATTTATTTACTGGCAACTGGAACCTGCCATAAGTATGGATTTCAGAGGTAATTGATGATCACGTGAGTGCACCTTCATCATGTGTACTCATATTATTGCAAAGAAAGGTAGCGTTCGCACTCTGAAGGGTGGAGCGTTCATTTCGAAAGGGGGCTTTACTAAAGTTTTATGGCACTGGTGACGTTTCTCAATATCCCCAGACTCCACTGTAGCCATCCACTATATCCATACTTCTTCACAACACTCTCCAAACGTCTCTGGGCTACGCCAATCACTGGAAAAGAATATAATCAAATCATTCAAAAAGGCCAATTTTGTGACGTGGCGAAATAATACCCCGCTGGTCAAGTTTGGGAATAGTCACCTGAGACAATGGGTGTGTGTGTGTGTGAGACAATGTGTGTGTGTGTGTGTGTTTGTGTGTGTGTGGCTTACTAGATTCATCTGTACGTTGTTGTACTTGGCTGCCAAATGGACCAGGTCCACCCTCTGTCACAGCCCTCACAGACAGGTTGTACACAGTGTAGATCTCAAGCTGGGTGATAGTCAGACTGGTCTCGTTGCTTGTCACATTGAACACCTGTGTGTAGTTTCCAGGGCTGACAATCATGATGTCATAGCGTACCAACACACCGTTTAGATCTTGCTGTGCGAGCTCTCGCCAGGCCAGTTGCAGAGCAGTGCTGCTCAAGTAGGATGTGTTGGTCACGGTTGGTCCAATACTTGGTGCTGCAGATGATGCATCAACAGTAAAGACAGTGATAATGAGCAACAATAACAGTACCATCATCATAGAGCATCATTGTCATTACTGGGTTTTTGGAATGAGATTTGGCAAAGCGATTCCCAAGCATCTTGCCCTCAAACCCAATTGAAGATTCCTAGGTCACGATAATTTGAAAATGCCTACCCCACCGAGCCCATTGGATTGATGCTCGTATGAGCAGACGAGAGAGGGTTAAAAGGCATCCTCGGAACAGTAGTGGCTCTAGGGCAAGTTAGTGGTAAGCTGAAACCCCTGAAATCTCCACGCAAAGTGGTCTTTGACTGTCCCAGCCATGTATTGCTTGGAATTAACAAAACTTACTAACTAAGATACTTTGATTACGTTGAAGTATTCACGCAATGTTAAATACAAGATTGGAAAGATTAAAAAATATATCCTACATTGTACCAAAGTTGTATTCGTAAAACTAACAAGGGAGACAGACGTACTTGGATAGTCTGAGGCCATAACTGAAAAACAAAGTGGAGTAAGTTCAGATCATGCTAAGAAGGGTCAAACGTTTCCAACTTGGCAGTGACCCACGGGTGATTGGAAACTCAGTCTAACCTTGCACAAGGGTAACATGGACACAGCACTGGGGTTTTTACATCTTTGACCATGTTGTGGTGGGTCTGATCCACTCATCAGCCACCACTAGGATATGCGTATGTGGGTGGATGGTGTGTTCCGACCGGGCCAAGGTGCGGAAGAGTAGGCTTGGCCTACTCTCTTCGAACCTTCAATTTGAAAGCAAGGCTATGCTGAAGGTATCGTACCGCTCTGCACGAGCTGATGTCTGAACTAGGGCAGTTAGCAGCCCTCCATGTCCTAGGCCTACGCATCTTACAATGTTCAGGTATAGGGAAGGGCAAACCAATGCAGTGTTCTTGTTGGTACTCGGAGGCTCTGTGTTTTTTGTTACTCAGAGGTTGCAGTGTTAGCAATCACCAGACAGCTGCCACAGCTAGCTTAGTATGTACTGTACAGCGATCCCGAGACCCTTGGTCGGGGGAGTCCACCGCACCTCCCCAGCGCAGCTCATGTAGCGCCTACACACCCTTTGCTGTTTTTTGTTGTTGTTTTGTCTTTGTTTTGTTTCCCATTCTTCCGTAGGTATGTGCGATGTGATACAAAAAGAACAGCGTCCATATCCACCTCACCTGCTTGCTGGGTCTGGAACCATGTGAAGTCAGAGATATCTCCCCTGCCAATACCAGTAGCAGCGGCAATGGCAACTTCATTAATCGTGTATGGTTTCAACCCGACAATAGTTCCATTAAGGGCAGATGCATTGAATGTTTGGCCTGAGACTTCACTGACGGGATAGATAGCCGTGACGTTGACGTGGTATAATGTGATTTTTCCATTCTGGTCCAGTAGGGGAATTGGAGACCATTGCAGCTGAGCAGATGTGCTAGTCTCGCTGGTAACAGCCAGGTTTGACGGAGCACGACTTGGAACTAGAACAACAAGTCAGAGGATGATCAAACATAACCACTTGATAAGTACATTGCTTGACAGAATATCAGGTGAAATTGCTACATGTATTGTATTGTATTGTATTTATTTAAAAGGATTCTCCAAAAGCAAATGGATGCTTATCACGGAAGTCTCCTACATATATATAGCAAGAAAAAAAGGTGAAATGGGGGAGAGGAGAGGGGAAGATGAAGCATGGGAAAATGGGAAACAAGTACCTGCATAATCGAGGTATAATAGCAGGAAAGAAATCGACGAGAGAAGAAATCACCTCTGCAGTTAATAGCTGGACATATAGATGAGAAAACCCCCAGCAAGGATTAATTTCTAGTATTAAGTACTGTAAGGCGAGACCAAAATAAAATCGAGATTCCCGGGCAGGACCCATGTGAAATTGGTGCGGGCGGGCGAATTTTATTTTTCATTTTTTCCCCATGTACATGTATGTACATGACTACATGTGTGCATGCCGTGTTGCTCTTTTTTTAAAGCATTTTCCGGTGATTTTTATTCAATTTTTTTACAGACAACAGGTACGCGGTTTACTCGTTCAACTTTTCTATATTTCGGCCATTGATGGCCCTGATCTGTACATCAGGGAGTAGTACAAACTCGGGTCCGCGTGACTCCACGTCACAGATCTACTCACACGATCAGTACTGTACATGTATGAACTGTCCAAAAAAATGGCTTTGGCTTGATTTTGGTGCGGAAGGGCCCGGGAATCTCTATTTTTTTGATCTCGTCTAAAAGCAGACATTTTCGGTGGTGTTATATTTTCGGTGACTTCGGTGCCGACAATTTTTAACGATAATAAAACGCACCAAAAATTTCGTTACAACCGACACTATATACTAGTACACTTACCTGGAGAACGGGTGTTACCGAAAATTTCCCGCTACCGAACCGCCTATTTTGGAGAATACCGAAAATATTACACCACCTAAAATTTCTGCTTTTACAGTACTAGGCACTGCAGCTTTTCACTTTACATAATATGTATTGCATTGCTTCTCTATTTTCTAAAAAAGAAGGCAAGAAGCCGTTAGACCAATTTCTGGATTTTGGAAAATGAAAGTGAACTTCAAAAGGTTGGAATTCGATCCCAGATGACAAAATTACTTGATCCACCTAGCTTTTTGAAACTTGGATGTTGAGCCATAAAGAAATGTAGAAAGGAAAAGGACATAAAGTCCAGCAACACCCTCAATGCGTTTTTAAGCTTGATAAATATACACATACGTCGATCTTCATTTACTAATCATTGATTTCAATTCTCTCTGTGTATTACTTCAAGCTCCAAAGTAAATCACATATGCTACCTGTACAATTCATTTGGGTTTTGGATTGATTTACTTTTATTTCATTTTTATTTTCATTTAACTTGCCATATTTTGCAGAGCCACCAGAGCGGGTTCCGGTCAGGGAGAAGTACTGGAGACGTGGTATATAGCTATCGGTGGTTATCAGCAAGATGCCAGCGTGTTGCGTCGGAGATCTCAATCTTAGGCATTGATATGTCAAAGGCATTTGACACTATATCAAGGGTCAGGCTGATCGATATACTGTCAACAGTCATTGATCATGATGAGCTGCACATCATCCAGTGCCTTCTGACAGACACCACAATAAAAGTAAAGCTGAATAACATTCTCAGCCAACCATTAGTCACACACAATGGAACCCCACAAGGTGATTCTCTATCGCCAGTCCTGTTTACTGTCTACCTCGAGGCTGCATTGAGGTTGATTCGAGAGCGACTCTCACCGCGACCAGCATTGGATATTCAGCTTCAATTGCCCAATGAAACAGCGTATGCGGATGACGTAGACTTCATCAGCACCAGCCTACAATATTTGCATGACAATCAACCCATACTATCATCCTCGTTAGCGGAATACAATCTAAAAATGAATGAAGCCAAAACCGAATATACTACAATTAAAAGAGAAAAGGACAGAGTAGACGAGCGATGGCGGAACACGGTCAAACTAGGATCGATGCTTGGAGTGGAGGAAGATATCAGTCGGAGAAAACGTCTAGCAACATGCGCCTTACATCAGCTGTGGGTGATATGGCTAAGAGGTAACCATGCCCGTGAACCCCTTCGGATTAGGTTATACGGCAGCTTTATTCTCCCAATACTTCTTTATAACTGCGGCACATGGAGCCTGACAGAGACTCAAGAAAAGAAACTTGACTCGTTCCACCGCCAGCAGTTACGAGCAGTCATAGGGGTCAAATATCCCCGTATAATACGCAATGAAGCACTGTACAAGCGCACTGGCTCCAAGCCACTCAGCAGAATCATCCAGTCTGCTAGGTGGAGAATGTTTGGCCACATGCTTCGACTAGACACCTCATCCCCGGTCCAGCAGGCTATGTCGGCATACTTTCAGCCAGGAAGCTCAGGGTTCCGAGGCCGCCCGAGAACAACACTCCCGCGATCCATCAACAACGACCTGAAAAATTCCAGATCCACAAACTCCCTCACATCACACGAGGATCTAGTTGCACTGAGGCAGCTCGCCCAGGATCGTCGAAAGTGGAAGGATCTAATGTGTGCTGTGTGTAATGGCTGAAGTTATACAATTACACTAGATACCCTTAACAATAATAACGGATACAATTACACTAGATACCCTTAACAATAATAACGGATACAATTACACTAGATACTCTAGATACTAGAGACTCGGTACTCTAGATACTAGATACTCTAACAATTTTATCAAACATTATGATAATTACCACATCAAATGCTGCGGAGACCTATCCAGAATCGGCAATATGCTGGCCCTGGCCTGGAGATCTGCAACTATAATCAGCTTCTACTTTGCAACACTAACGGATTAGTCCCCTTTGTCGATTGATGGATCAATCGGTAGATTCGGCTCTGTTTTTCTTCCCTTTCTTTCTTGTTTTGAATTGTACGTTGAACTCATTGGATTTCTTTGTATTCTGTATCTCGTTATCGTTATATTTCCCTCTAGCCCTCTCGCTTAGGATGAGCTTTCTTTTTTATGGCAGCTTAAGCGAAGGCTATATACCTGCTTTATGCAGGTTGATGCCAACGCGAACAAGCAAAATAATAATAATAATAATATTTTGCATGTGCATTTTTGCCTTTTATTCCATGGCTGGTAGCCCTCATTCATAATATTGGTTGACACCATGTCATCCATGAATTGAGAATAATAATAATAATAATAATACGAGTTAAGAGTTACTCTCCATCACTGTAACCAGATACTACATACAGTCAGAAAGTGCACCAACTAGGCACACAACTGACAGAGTACTGAGACATTCGACGTTCTGACACCTAGCTTCAACACATCTCCGTAGCGCTAATCGACATCCTTCCAACTTGGAAGGTTCAAGGTTATGGAAAGACCAAATAGGGGAACCTACTGGTCTCGTCATTGTCCAGTAACAATCGACATTCTTTGTTCCGTTGGGACTGTAGCCTGTGCTCGTTTTCGTTGCGCTTGCCTTCCCCTCTTTGGTCTTTCCATAATCTTGAACCTTCCAAGTTGGAAGGCTGTCGGTTAGCGCTACGGAGATGTGTTGAAGCTAGGTGTCAGGACGTCGAATGTCTCAGTACTCTGTCAGTTTTGTGCCTAGTTGTTGCACTTTCTGACTGTATAATTATAGTATCTGGTTACAGTGATGAAGTTACTCTTAACTCGTATCCATATGTCCTTTTCCTTTCTACACCTAGCTTCTATTTTTTAATTTTTTTACGAATGACAATCCCTGCGATCAGACAGAGAAAGGGGACAGGCATTAAGAAGGAGAAGAAAGGATAATGACGAACGGCTATCTGCAGGGCTTGCTAAGTTAGCAGCAATGCAGGTGAGGCATTGTAGGCTCCCCCAACCACTGGTCTCGGGTTCCTCGCCGCATTACGTGTACCAAAGGTAAGAATAATTAGTTGAACGTTATTATAATAGAGTACAGCTTCTGCAGGTCACTAGAAACCAAGGATCTTACCTCCCTCCTTAGTCTTAACAAGTTGCACAGAAGTGCTACCATTCTCTCCCCTTCCATTTTGGACCCAGGTCCGGGTGTTGTAGACTACATATTCCTCAAGATTGTGAAACTCAAATACACCATTATCTGTACAATTGTGTTTCACGAGTTGACGCAGTTCATCAGGTATTGGTTTGCCGTCCACTCTCTTGGTTGCTTGGATTGTGATGCAGTACTGATGAGCATTCCAGTACGGTGACTCGGATGTCACCACTGCCCTCACACTGGTTGATGTTGAAGTGAATTTGACGGTTGGTTTGTTGGGTACTAAAGTGCAATACGCAGAAGCACAAGAAGAACTGAGTCATGGTAGATTAAAATTGCACCACAGTTGATAGTGGTATTCTTTCTCTTACTACAACCCAATCACTACCATCATACACAACAGGGTTATCTGGTTTGAAACTGACGACGGGCAGCTGGGTTAGGGCCATTTAAAGTGGCGTAGGTAAGCATAACTCCACACATGCAGTATAGCATGGTAAGCATAACTCCACACATGCAGTATAGCATGGTTATGTACTGCAGGTCTATTGCTATTTGTGTGCAACTGCGTGCAGGAATGTGCGGGAAAACTACTATAGTGCAGTACACTTTAGTGCCTACGTATGTGCGTGCAATCCACAGTGCATACATGTTCATGTGTGAAAGCGCAGTGCATGGGGAAAGTAATGGGACGAGGGAACCTGTATGGCAGGCAGATCCTTATGTTGCAAAATTCCGTTCGTGTCTTATTTGCGCACTTTGTATTTGTTTGTTGTCTTGTTGAGTCCACTGTCTTATGGTGTAAGTGTACGTATGGGTATGGTGTGATGTGTGACGCTTTTGGTATGTGGTGCATGCAAGAGTACGCGTTGCCAGAGTGCAAGAATCTGCTTCCGTCTGTGTGAGAGTGACTGTCAAGTGAATGTTGTGCATGCGCAGTGCTAGTTTGGTCTAGGAATGAGAGTGATGAGTGATTCGCCCGTGGTCTGGTTGTCTTTGTCTTGGTCATGTGTTATGTACGTATTGGTCCCTGATTGGTCGTCCCGATTTGTCGTTGCTTTATCACTGCTTGTTCTTTGTTGTTTCTTCGTGTCGTTTTCCTTCGTTTTTTTCCGTTTCACATTTGTTCACCTTTCTCCTCCTGTGCCCTTTCCGTTTGAGTAAGAAGTCAGAAACACCATCAAGTCGTTTGCGTTGTTGTGTGGTGAGACCAGGGGGAGAAGGTAATAACACAGCAACTAGTGTTTCACTTATAACTTAGCTGACAGATGATTGCATTGAAACAGGAAACAACAGAGAGGCAGTTACATGTAAGTTTGGATGATGACATTTTGTGTAGTCAGTGTTTATTGTTCATGGAAGTGTGTTACATGCCCAGCAGGATGATGAGTGTGTGTGTTGCTAGGTGTCTAAGAACTAATTCTATCATTTACCAAGAGCTACTGTTCTTACCAGCTTCGAGTGTTCTGACAATCTCCTCACTGCTGAAAGGTCCACTTTGACCTCCGTGACCTATAGCCGATACACTGATGTTGTAGTTTGTGTTAGGCTGAAGGTGATGCAGCGTGAGTGAGAGCTGATCACTTCCAACACGTCGGTCATGGCTGTTGTAGTACTTGACCAGATAGTGTGTGATTGGACCGTTGCGACCAAGCAAGGGTACTTCACTCCATACTACTGTCAGTGATGTTCTGTTGACATTGGTGATGCTTACAGATGCGGGTGGCTCAGATGGGGCTGTGTCAGAATCAAAAATACATAGCCAGGAACATTTAGCTATCAGCTTGCGGCGATGATAGTCACATTTGGCTTTTCTATATTCGATTTCTCACTTCAAAAGTACGTGCTCAAAATGCAGGAATTTTCTTCATCCGGTCATTTTAGTGAAGGCCCAAGATGAAATATCATCCTCATTTTGAGTAAAATATCATGCATCAGGGGCGTAGGAGGGGTTTTGGAAGTGGTACGACCGAAGGTCGGCGCGGCCGAAGGCCGTTTTGGAGGGGGGTGGGGGGACCTCCCCCGGGGAAATGTTGTAAAAAAGACACAAAATCCTGCGTTCTGGGAACTTCTGGCACACTTCTGGCACAGTTTATAAAGTCATAGAATTATTTCACGGTCAGAAGAGACGTGCATGGACATGCACAGATGCATGGCAGATCTACGAGTACGAGTCTAGAAAAAGGTCAAAGTCTGATGCGCATATGCATCGATGGATCCTGATTTTTTTATTACGTTTTTGCACGTTCCGGACGGACCACACTTTTCGAAAAGTGGTATGGCCATGGTCGTACCAGTCGTAGCGGGTGCTACGCCCCTGTGCATGCAAAGTCTGCGGGTTCAGCGACCGGGGACATGATGAATAAGGAAACTAACTCTGTCCTGCTTTGAGGGGAATGATCAGAATGGCATCCCAACCGCTCACAGACACCCTGAAGAAAAGAATGAGGAAATGTGAGGAATAGCGTTCTATGCTCGTATTCCATGGAACGAGTTGATAGGAATAGGGCATTTTGACTCGGAAATACACCCTGGGGGCAGAGCAAAATTCTCGTCAAATTCTATTTTTTGGAATCCGTGGCCATGCACGAGGAAAACATGGATGCATGAATTGTTTTCAGCACATGTACGGTTTTGGATGATTTTTACCCCATTTGGCCACAATCTACTTTGTCGGAACTGACCAAAATGAGTCTTTTTCGGGCGAGGAATACGACACACTTGATTCCATTCCCTATCCCTGAAAGGGACATTTAGCGTAATAACCAAAAATCTATTCAAATGATAGTTCTAAAGGGGCACAGACCACCAGACTTTCTTAGGTAACATCCTATGGTTGAGGAAGCCATTCAGCCTATTACTGGCATTGCTACTTATCACCAACCTTCGGGTTTAGTTTTGAGACTGAATGCCGTTGTATGTGGGCTAATCTTCATGGCAGTGTTGTTGGCAAACCCCTCTATGCAGTACGTTGCATCCTCCTCCAGGTTTTTCAGTATGATGGTTGTGACTTGACTGCAAACCGTTGTAGAGGTTGTTGGCGATGGAGTCCCGGAGACTAGTTCACGGTGGTACAGACAGCAATACCGATGAATTGTGAAATGACCAGTCAGTGCGCCAAACACCACAGTAATTGTTGCTGGAGTTGATGAGTTAGATGTGACCTTTGGAGTTGGTGGAACTGCAAGCCACAAAACAACAAGTCATGCACATGAGTCAGTCACTACTAGCTAGCAATGCATGAAGTCAAAGTAAGGTTAGGATGCATAAATAGTATGCAAACTGCAGCCAAATTCCATGTATCTGACTTCTTTGGCGATTCGGGATATTGGATAAATGGCCCAATATCTGAGAAAATCGACCTTCCGGGCTATTTTGGTGAAAATGACTTTTCCATTGTAAAATGATTTCTGACCTGTGTAGAGTATTTTGACAACGTTTCACGGATTTCAGAGCAATATTCACCATGTAGCAATGCATTTTATGAGTAGGAGTCAAATTTTGGATTTGCACATCTTAGAATTGATTTTGAAAACTCAGCATGGTTGGTACTACTGTTTGTATCCAAGTTGTAACCATAACAGAAAACAGTTCAGGACTACAATAGAGTGTCTAAGCACTTCTTTTCCAGCTTTCACTCTGTTGGTAGGGTAGCTGCGACAGCAGCAACGGCAGTAGGAGCAGGGCAGGTGATGTCTCTGTTCTCCTCGTGACAGTGCTGACGAACCTGCTTGAAAAGGTAGTCGGCACGAGCGTGTGACATCCCGGCTGGTTGCAGGGCAGGTGGAAGGACTTCCGTCTTCAATGTGCTGATGTCAGCATCCGGCTTGATAATCGACAAGGTCTTGTCAGCCTCCGTCGATGATCCAGACATCTCCACCATCCCAGGCTTGTCAGCTGAGAAGTGGAAATTCTGGTATTTCGTGATGTTTTTCACGGGCTTGAAAACAGTGGAAAGGTATGCATCCCACTGTCTCCAATCCCATGAAAACAAAACGGCCTTGTTGAAGGCTGCTGATTTATCTGTTGCATCAGCTAGCTGCTGAAGTGTATCGACGTCGGACTTCCTGTAAGTCTGCTTCAGCAACCCAAAGCCGCCATCGACAAAGCATCGAGTGTGCCCAACGCGCATGAAGCACAGGTCGATGGATTCGTTGAGCCCCACAATGACTCGCCAGCAGAGGTACCCAACGACTGTTTTGTTTTTGTTTTGTCCGCAGCAATTGTCGGCGTGCAGACCGATGTCGTGTGCGCCCTTGGCATGCTGCTGAAGATGGAAATGGAGGAGTGAGACCACTGAGTTTGGCCCATGGCATTTGCTGCCATCAACTCCGATGGTCTCATTTTCGTCAAACAAATAGTTGTGCTGTGCTGGCACAGCCTCCGCTGCAACACCAAAAATCTGGATCCGGCGCGGAACTTTGAAATACAACGCACCTACTTCACGGGCATGGTGTGGAATGTGCGCCTGCTGGGCAAAGTCGAACGTGAAGTGCTCGTATGCTGGCGCTTGCAACTCACTGCTTTGCTGTTCAGCTATGGCATCCTTTGCCTTCGCAATGCAGGCCCTGTAATGATCTCGCGCAACATTCGCCTTCTCCATGTGCGCCTTCAACTCTTCCACTGTTTTTTGTCTGGAAATTTCCGTTCTCGCTCGGGTGATCTTCGACTGCATGTCTGAACATTCTCCACACACATCTTCCTTCGGAGTCATAATCAAAACATCTGGAGTTTCTTTCAACCATAGTTTGACAAATGTCTGGTAAGAGACAGTGCCTCCGGCATCTACGTACTTCTGGTGCACCAGCTTCTTTGTAGTGATGCATGGCAAGTAAACTGGTGCTGGAGTGTTGTGCCCCCTGGGTGCAGCAGGCTGTGGGAGACCATTCACCACAGCGTAGTTACGAATGAAATCGCGTACCTGCGTTACACCCTCCGCAGACACAGCATGCCAGGGAGAACGACCTACATTTCCATGCTGTGGTGGAGTCAGAACGCCTGCGTCGAGATGTGCCTGCACTTGATGCACGTCGTATCGACTGGCGGAATTTGCATACAAAAATACCGCCTGACACGTTTTCACACCACCGACTTCGTACCGGTATGTCACTCGAGATCGCGCAGCATGATGTGCTCCGTGATGTCCTGAATCGCCACGATTAGCCAGAGCATCCAGCTTGCCACTCAAGAATACGCGACGGTCATCGTCGCCAAGAACCTCCGTAGAATTTCGCGATGATTTTAGAATTTCTGGTGGGACACTCAGGAAACAGTTTTGACTCCCTGCGCAAGGGCAGCCAGCGACCCGGCGTGCTTCGATGTCCTCAGTGGATGACAGCTTGATAGCTGGTTGCTTGTCCCTGCCTACAGCGGCAGCAGCTAGCGCTGTGGCCGGCTCCGGTTGCCCCTGATCATACTCATCAAGGTCCTCTTCATCGTCGCTGCCGACAGGTAAGTGCGTTGTGTCAAGTGCGATCGTTTCATCCGCGCTATCAGAAGCGCTGGCGTCGCTGGAGGGGATATCGCCAAAGAACGATGCATCATCGTCGATGAGATCGCGGTTGGCCTCTTCTGTGAATCCAATAACAACCTGACACAAGGATCGCCTTCGATTTCCTTCCGCCATTGTCGCCTCCGCAGTTTGCTGTGACAGAATCGATTTTTTTGCGATCAAATTTGTTTTGGCTTTTTCTCAAAAAAGTCGCGTAGCCCCGAAGGTCGAAAGTCTCAGATATCGGGCCAAATGATAATGTTTGATAACACTTATGTTCTGTTACACGGGAACTGTCACAGACTTATTTTTGCCTCAATTTTGGTTTTGAGGCTGCTGACCACAATGGTGAAGTTTTGTTTTCCACGGCTGAGCGAAAGAGAGCAAAAAGCGTACTTTTCACTCACCAATATTTTCGTGCGTTTGCTCTTGTTCTGCGCAACTCCATTGAACCTGCCATCGTGGTCTTTGTTTTCCTCGTGGTAATTGAAGTTGCCCGCCCACCAACCCCGGTTTCAAGGGGGTCTTCCACTGAACATTTTGATATTCTATGCCGATGTCTGTGGCGTACGATCATGACATACCCCGTATATTACATACAATTTCTTGTTTTCTCTATTCTTGGGTCCGACTGGCAGCGGGCGGGGCAGGAAGTAATGACATAGATATTTTTTTGGCCGGAAGGCGGGTTTTTCCTCTAGCCCAGTTGAGCGGTCGGGGCTAGGAATGTATGATTGTTTTCAGGCGCTCCCCTGCTGCCCACTCACCCATGCTCACCACTTACCATGCTGCTTCTCCTGATTTTGTGGCCCTTTCTGTTGCATGATTTACCGTACTCGCGCGATAAGAGCTCTATCTTGACTTTGTGCTGAACAAAGCTGTAAACATATTAAATTTTCTCTTTAGGCTAAAATCAATTCTACACACTAAGTCACTGTCTCTCTCTCTTATTTACAAAACACCTATCATGCGTATACATGCCTATAATTGAATACGCATGCATTGCTGTCACCCCACTCTCAATCACAGCCCGTGACCGCCTTGAGCGAATCCAGAGCAAGACGGCCAGAATTTGCCTCCGTCTCCCCCTCTTCACTCCTCCGTATCATTCAGCACTGCTGCATTGGCTCAAATGGCGGACAATGTCACAAGTTTTCTTGTCACAAAGTAAAGCTCACCCTTCTTGCACACTCCATAAATTACCAATATGCACCACAACCCATACGCATGCTCAACACCCCGCTCAAGTTACGCCCCAGTGTAGCCTTCGACACACATGCACTTGGCGCCTCCCACCCACCAGAACCGACCGCTGTAAAGACTTCCCACTGTACAAGTCCCTAGAATACTACAATGCCCTCCCTGCTAGCATTCGTAATGTTCCCTCCCCACCTGCTTTCAAACAAGAAATTTACTCACTGCTTATTAATTAACTCAATCTGCTCCTGCAGCGCTCACCCTTTCCCATACTTGTAAAATTCAAAGTGATGTAAATCACTTTCCAACTGCATAACCCACAGCCTCACCCACAGCATCTCCCCTTCTCATAAACTTATCTCTTATTGGCGATGGTGCCATCGTGAGAATAAAGAATTCCAAAAATCTTGAACAGTGCCCTATCTCGAATAGTGCCCCAGTCTCTAAGAGCCAGTGAAAAAATAAAGCCCTCTCTTGAATAGTATCCCCCCCCCCCCCCACGCCCGCTGGTAATCAAGCTCACGTGCGAGTTAGGTGATATTTTGCTAACGTTCTTGTCCATGTCACTGCACTGGTGGTTTTGGGATCAAAACGGATCTGAGGAGAAGCCAGAGACTAGCGAAGGCACGACTGAGAAAAATCGAGAAGGTCGGACCAGGAGAGGCAGGTGAAAGTACGGGCGCAGCAGTGAACGCATCAAGGAGAAAGAAGCGGTGGCGCGAGAAGATGGAGGCGGAGGATGATGATGGGGGTGAACAGGATGGTCAGGAGGACAGCAAGGGTGAGCAGGATCAGGAAGTGGAGGACGAGAGTGATACTGACGAGGAGGAGTTGGATATCGACAAGAGGAAGTCTGCCATCTACAAGCATTTGGTGTCCAGTCCGGATTGTCGTAAGTTGTTTGACGATTCCTGGTTCAGTGTTATTTGTTGCGCACGTTTCTTTAAGCAGTTGCAGGTGTTGGAAGCTGTTTATATTCGTATACGTGACCCTGTGCTATGCAAGCAAAAAGAAAATGTTGTAGCACTCACACTTTTCAAATAATACGCACTCACCAGTTTGTCCACACGCACTCACAGCTGCCACATTCATCTACTGCTACCATTCTCAGATCCACTGAATATGTTCACACTACACGCGTTATGCATAACCGCGAGCTGCTGCATTCTCACGCTTCTTTTCATATTGGGGGAAGAGTGTGTTGCTCCCTACATGGGACCTCGCGGTTAAGTGAGAACTCAAGTCGGCAGGAAAACCGCGAGCTCCCATGTAGGGAGCAACACACTCTACCCCTACTATCGCCGAAGTCGCACCAACCTTTTCTTCTTTTCATATTATTCTAGCTATAATTATAACTGGTTGTTTTAGTGATTCTTACTATGTGACGATCTTCCACGGATGATAGTCACGGGAAAACGTTCGGGCATTGTTTCATTTTAATTGTTTTATACATGGTTATGAGTGCACACTTAGTATTTTTCATTGCTATTTTACTACTGTTGTCTCCTCGTCAGTTGTAGAAACTTCAGAGATAATCAAAAGAAGGTGGGTTGCACACAATACTTGGGCTTGAAGTCCAGTGTCAAGGCAAGTTGACGGGAAAAGAGCGAGCTCAAGTGTTGGGAGGAACCAACTTCCTTTTAAATGTAACTTTGCTTCCAAATATTCTGTACGATTGTGTGAGGCTCATCTAGATTGAGTTGTCCGTATCTGCATGAATGTTATTATTTCTGGTCGGCCGAGCGGAGCGAGATAGGCGAGAAAAGATTGCTTGCGCAACAACATTTCTCCTCTTTTGAGTATAGCGTGTGATATATTTTTCTTCTGTTGTTGTTGTTTGTTATTCTTTTTGTCTGACTTCTTCAGTCAGTTTTTTGAGTCTTACCAGTGTTGCTAGTCACCTCTGGCTGCGGCCTATCACCCCTCATCTTGTACGCTCCTGCCTCCGTTGTCTGTATCTACGTTGATATGTTGGTGTACGTGGATCAAGAACCACCACCCTCTAGGCTGAAGGTGCAAACGCAGCTCCTAAGCGGAGAGAAAGATGATGAAAATTCAGCATAAAGGAATAATATTTGGACTTGTGGAATGCATGTGCATCAATGTAGTCGATAAAAGAATTGACAACACACAGTACCGGAATATAAAAAACACGACACTTACCATTCTGTGATGTAGTGTATTCTCCCCTCCCTCCCCCCTCTCTCTCTCTCATCCCCTCTGTCGTCCACATGTATCTAAGGAGGCGAAACCGCCTGTTTGTGGTGCGACGTTAAATAAACATCTACAACTACAACAATTGCTCCTTACAGTATTGATTTGTAGTCCTATTGAGAGGAGGAGCATACAATCCAATACCGCCGGTTGAGATTGCTGCAACGCGAATGCTATACGTATAGCCTGCCCTCAAATTGCTCAGTGTGGCATGTGGCCAAGAAACATTGAGAGGTGGTAGAGCCGTTCCTTCTTCTTCATATCGGACGTGGTAACCTACAAAGCGCCCATTGAGGTGAAACGGATTACTGATTGGCGTCCATGAGATGGAGACTGATGTGTAGCCTGTTGACGATACTATTAGTCCTGTAGGGAAAGCCGCTGGCACTAGTACACAGAAAATATCAAGCATACACAGGAAAACAAACTACTCACTGCACAACATCATGGTGGTGTGTAAAATGCACAAAGTCAGTAACGATTCTAGCTGTGGTGTCCGTGTCCATTCTGCGAATATCTTTTTCTGCGGGCTTATCCTACTTGTAGTGCAAGTGCTTTTTAAACTGATTTACAGTTTTCTCACTTCCCTGAGCGTGCCTACTTAGGGAAACATTAGAATTGTATTGAAGAAGAACGATCAGTCAATTAACATGTCGCATTGAAAAGCCAAAGTGATGATGGTCAGCGCAGTAGGCAGGGTATCTACGCAGTACATGTTGGACAAATCCTTCTGCTGCACCAGCGCCCTCTACTGAGTAAAGCACTGCTTACAATGTTTTTGTCACCAGTTCACTGCTACATGTACTGTAAAAGCCATATATATAACGAAGTCCTAACTCTAACGAGTTCACGAGTAGAAATCTGTCGTTAAAATAGAAATCGTTATACAGAAATCGATACATATACTGTCCTATTGAGCGTTGAGAATGAGTGAGAATCGTTACCTTTGGTACACGTAAACTGGTCAATTTTGGGAAATCGTTATATATGTGCCTTGTTAGAATAATGGCTTTTACAGTAGATGTTATCACTGTAGAGATACCAATGTTCTGTATGAAGAGGAGAGGTTATGCCACCTGTTGCGTATTTGTCACAGTTTCTCAAAGTACCTGCTGCTTTAGTTGTCACACCATTACGTGCTGTGCTATTTCCCCTATCCCAAGCTGTATTGTAGGCGAATGCTACCACGTTGTACATAGCATCTTCCTCAGCTCCCTTCAGCAGGACAGTTGTGGTCGCACTGCATATTGTAATGGTTGCTGCTCCCGATCCAGGTATTCCTGACACTGATGTTCTTGTAAAGTTGCAGCAGTAACTGCCAATGGCGAAGTATCCAGTGAGCGGGAAGAAACCGAAGGTTATTGATGTTGCTGTTGCTGATATGTAATAGATGACTGGAGCCGGAGGTGCTGTGTAGCAAAGAAGTAAAAGGTTGCAGGAAAAGGTTGCACCATCGGCAAATAGGACATAAATTCTACGGCACCAAATCAAAACAAATAATTATGCTGGTCTGCAGTCTAACTCTGTACCCGGGGATAGCCCTTTCCCAAAGATGCCATAATTCTTCATAACTTTATACTTTTCGCAACCGTGCCAAAACAAGTACAAGTTGCTGGAATCCCATCCATATTTTCAGAAAAAGCCCAAAAGTTGCCATTATCGCAACTTAAAACTGGAGACTTCTTGTGCAAAAGCCACCAAAAAAGGAGCAGAAATAGCAGAAGTGCTGCAACAACAAACTCGTACATTCCTTTCTGCTGTGAACCACAACTTTACACAGTGCCAGTAGCCTGTTGCATAATATATGCATCTATCATTGCACGACTAAAGAGGTCAATCTATGAAATATAGAACGAGTAAAAGACCGAGGTCCTTCGATGTCTTTTACGAGGTCTTTATACCTGGTCTATATTTAATATATTGACCGATTATGAGGGCAATAATATATTTATCACGACATAGCATACCTAAACTGGTTTTCTTTGTTATAGGAAGAAATGAATACTATTGTAATAGTACATTGTATGTACATATGCCGTTTACATTTGACATTACTTCTGACAGTTTGGGTTCAAATCCCAGCATTTGGTTTCAGATTTTTCTTCTTTCAGTTCTGATTTTTTCTAGGTTGAGGAAAAAGTTCTAAGTCCTCGGGCTAAGTGGTCAGTTTAAGTGGTCAATATAAGCGGTCAATATAATTATGCTGATATTTGACTAATAGAGATCACAAGTTTCTGTGGTGGTCAATAATAAGAGAGTGACAACCTACATTATTCCAGTGAACGGAAAAGGGAATACACATTATCGTAACTACCGTTGATCGAACTTAGAAAAAAATATATTCAAAAAATCATATTTGCCACATCAATGAAACTCGTTAGCTCGCTCGATAGCTTGCTCGTTATTGGAACTGATCGCTCGTTTGTTATAGATACGCTCGTTTCAACACTAATTTGTCCATATAAAATTAGTTTCAAGTAGTCCTTATTCCATTGCCGTAGATTCGCTGATGAATGTAACAAGAAAATTGTTCTGAGCAAATCCTCTCTTTCCCTTTCGTTGTGTGCCTTGCGATCATCGTATAACATTTTACACATACACTTCGACATATAGGAAATGCTTACAGTGCAATTTGTCCTCCTTGTAGCTGCATTAAAACTGCTGTCTCCGCAACGCTTGTTTACTTAAAGAATAACATTCGGAATTATGGAATGGAAGTGCATCAATGTAGTCGATAAAAGAATTGACAACACATAGTACCGGAATATTAAAAACACGACACTTACCATTCTGTGATGTAGTGACATTGGTGTACTTTGAGTAAATACCTAGCCCTCCTGATGAGATGGCTGCAACTGAAACTTTATACATGGAGTTGAACTTCAAGCCAGTCACGTTCGCGTTCTCTGTTGTAGTGCGCACATATGTTATCAGGTTCGTACCTTGCCAGCATGTGACGTTGTAGCCCACCAGTACTCCATTTAACTCGTATGGGTTCACTGCCGACCAGCTGATATGGACAGTTGTAGCTGTGCTTGAATTGAATTGTATATCTGACGGGGCTACATGTGGAGCTGCAAATAGAGAACAGTGGATAATGAAAGGTGATAAGACGAACTTTGAAGATTCCATCCCAAATTTTGAATTACAGTTTCAAGCTTCCACAGTAAAATTTCATGAAGAGCTTGGTACACCTATTCTATCATTCGGCTGCCATTTTGGGGCAGCTGAGTTTTGCTTCATTCTCAGCATCCCCAGACAAGGTTCCTGATCATGGTCTGCGATCCGTATATTCTGTAGCGGCATGACTCTGACGATGACGTCACATCATACACAAAGCATGCGCAAGAAAATAAATAAACAGTTTCCTCCGAGACAAAAATGCGATAATACTCATAAAAAGGACACAATTCAGGCTCTTTACGAACATCTTGAAAGTCGTTTGGTTTCACAAGTATACTTTCAAGCCTTCTCATCAGGTGAAATACAGGTAAGGGAAAAGGAACAGGAACAGCAATCTAGCACTGCGTACACGTGACAAATAAATCTTTCCCTTTGGCCTCAACTTCCTTGTTGCACAATTGACGATCCCAGCCGCCCATTTCAGCCGGCCTAAAACCCTAAAATTCAAAATCGTCCAGCTGGTTTTTGAAAGACAAATTTTTGTCCGAATTGAGGCTAAAACCTACTTGAATTTTGATAAATGACCCGCGCTCTGCGAAAACCGACCTTAGGTGCTTCGTAATTTTTTCGAGAAAAAGAACAAAACGTCACGATCTGTCGATTTTTGAAGATTACAAGGTGAGAGTCATGGCTGAACGAAGCAGAAGACAGTCGCTAGCTCAAATTGCTGCGGGCTTCTCCCCAGAGGTTTTAGCCGAACTCCTTCACGATGAATAGTCATTTTTTTGGCCTGGTCCAATCGCAGTTCTGATGACAGCAGTGCCGAGGAGAGTCGGATGTGGAATCGCAGCACGTAACGCTGATCGAGCTGGACGGTGATGCGGAGGAGAATTTCGATCAGGCGTCGGTTCTGCCACCAGCCCAGCCCCTCAATGCCGGCAATATACAGAGTGCACACCAAGAAAAATCGGTTCAAGTACTGTCTACAATCCAGGAGGCGCGTGACAAGTTTGACAAGCGCTGTAGGTGTTCCGCACTGGTGCTGTTTCAAGAGCGTGACACTTGAAACCTTGCTTGCACTTACAGCACACACAGCGCAGGTCCTGATCAAGACAGATCGCTGCTTGTGTGTAGGCGGAAAGCTAGACGTGCTCAGGAGACGTGGTGAGGCTACCCAGCGCGTCCAGCATGCTGGGAGATGTGATAGATGGGGCTCAACAATACTACTCTGAACTACTGAAGTACAGCGTCAGTGGCTGGTGTGGAAGTCATGTACATGCATGTCAGGAAGTCTTTGTGTGTGCCTCCAGGATCAAGCCCTGGGTGCTGAAATCTACTGGGTGCTGAAATCTACAGGCTGCTGTCAGTGCAAGTGCAATCAGCCCAACACAGAACTCTGGAATGCACTGCCTGTGGAAGATGTTGTGGAGCTGAAGCATTTTATAGAGCATTATGCTATGCTAGTATTATGCTATAGTTCATGGCCTCCCTTAACCTGCGGCTCGACATGGACACAACAAGCCAGTACCAACCTACATGTATTTGCCCAGTATCACTACGAAGAAGCTTGTTCACCAGGCGTTCACAAAGCCTGGTGGCAAAGCTGCATACAGTACGTTTGACAAGATTTGGAAAAGAGACTGCCATGATATCACCGATTACGAAACAATGTGTGCGGCTGATGTAGACATAACTAGATGTTCTAACTTCCAGTACCAGATAAAACTATCAATATCCTTTAATCCGGCATTGATCCTAGCTTCTTCACTACTTTGCACCTGCCTCTACGCATCACTCCGGCTGGCATATCCTCAAACAGAGCCAAAAACCTCTTCCACCAGATTCGTGAGCAACACCAGCCACAGAACAGAGATAGAATGTGTCTATCTCCACAACAGGAAGATCCAATGCCATCATAAACCTTTCCTTTTGAGCATTATGACATACAGATTTATTCTGCAAAGTTTGGTTGCAATCATCCTGCTTGAATTCTCGCTGCATTGGTTCCAAAATGTAGCATAAAATCCTGGATTTTTGCTATTTTTCCTCCAAAAATTGCAAGAAAAGTGCAAAGAAATTGTCATTGTATCTAACTGAATATGTATGCAATCCACCTATAACTTCACCAGAAGTTGAAGAAAGGGTCCTGGGTCAACAATCCAGCACAAACTCAATTTCGCCAAAATAGCACCTAAGGTCGGTTTTCGCAGAGCACTGGTCAAATACGGATGTTTGACCTGCTTCTACATACATTTTGCCATGATTGTAATATCGTGTCATGTCTTTTAAAATTAGTGAAACCTGGCCAGATTTGAAGTTTACTCTCCTTGGCCTTTTCTGGCCTCAAAAGCGGAAAGTAAAATCTCACAAAGCAGGATGTAGAGTTGCATTCAGCGAAGCTACCACCATGCACAAGGTTCAGTGGAAACAATCTGTGCATCTCTCCTCTAGATTTTCTTGCCGCAAGTTCTTACGCGATCATTAGGAGACTATGCTTATTGGACTGTATCCTACTGTTGTACATCGGACTAGTTTCTCTTGAAAGTTTTAGATTTAGGAAAGGGGTTTCTCTCGAACTCGGTTCCTGGAAATTTTGAGTGTGGGCTATTAACACATACAAAAGAAGGAAGGCCAGTGTGAGCGCCATGGCTTTGTGGAAGGCACAACCTGTAGTGTACGCTACGGTTGAACACTTTAAAACTTCTGCCATAATCACATACACAAGGGAACAAGGAACAGGTATGTGGTAGGACAACATTTATTAGTGAGACCGAGAAACGGAGAGAAAGACGAACGATTACATGATGAAAGGGAGAGAGAGAGTTTTGAGAGAAGGAGTGCAAGATCAAGGGCCTGGGTAGCTACAGCAAATATGGTCATGCAAGTAGCTAGCCAGGCCAAGAAAAGGTGGGTACGTGAGGGTAAGTACAGGGTGCATATAGGTCAGCAGGGAAAGGTTGTGGAAGGAGGCAATGTACGGGAGGAGGTACATAACACTTCTATGGTGGACGAGGAAACCCAGTCGGAGGTCAAGCGGCCCTAGGGTGCCAGCCATGCAGCCGTGAGTACGCAAACGATCAACAAGTGCTCTGTGCATGCAACTTTCTGTACGCACTGAGGGTGCCGGCCCCAGTCATTCGACTGGATTTCCAAGTCCACGGCAGTAGTTGTGGTTGCCACAGCAGTATCTCTCCTCGTATTGTCTCTTTCTCTCTCATCTGTAAAAGTGCATGCTGGACGTAAATATATCTGCAGTCTTTGTCTTGTGCCCAGAATGGACGTGTGCTTGGCTTACAGGCTAAACACAACACACACTTTGCAGAGATTGGCACGACGATTAGTGTGCATGGGAAACCTCCTGGGGGCTGACCTGTCAATACCACATTGAGTGCTCTCAGGATTAGTTTTCAAGCTTGCACTTGTTGCAGTATGTTATTTTGTGTACGTCGTGTGTACGTCATGTTGGTGCATGCGTGTGTTGCTGTGGTGTGAAAAGCAGTCTTCGTATTGAGTTCGTCATGTCTAGTTGTGTTTCCGTAGTCACCTTGCAATAAACAGTCTTTCAAATGTAGGTATCGTCGTCCCTTTGTATAAATGTGGAGATGGCACGGGACTGGGAGCAGGTGGAGAAAGGGCAGAGGGCAGTTACAACACACTCTCTACCACAATACATGACAATCAATCAAGTTTAGCACCCGGATGGAGATAACGTCTTAGGGTTGGTTCACATAAGCAAAATCGGCGCCGCAAGACATCGCTAGACATCGGTGGTGAGTCCGCTCCCGATCCGTTGCGCATACGGTTCAAGTACCAAATCTACTACAAAGTAGTACAGAATGAGCCCAAATGCTACGACAGGTTTGCCAATTGAAGATTGAATTCTTTGGTTCTCCAGTAGTTCAAGGTCTTTCGGTGATGGCCTCTCGGTGCTACCTTTTACTGGAGATCATGAAACTACTTCTACACATTTTATTGCAGTCTAGTGAACGATTGTGTCGAAATTATGCTTGCAAACGTTAATGAAGTCACAAGAACTTGCCAATGTATCCATCATATTTTTTATTTGTTTCAATTGTATTTGTCTCATAAGTTGCACAATGGGCAAGCAGATCATCCGAGAAGGACGGGTTGGTATGCTGACGTATTTGCCACCTTGAAGCGACTACAAGAATGGCGAACGGACCTCCTCTCTAGCTTCAATTTAGAAAAATTTAGGACAAGTATTGGTTTGAAATTTTGACAAAGTCTGGCTCCCGGCAGCCGGCGATCACCGGCGCGAACGGTTCACAAACCACTTTTGGTCAAAATTGTACGGGATCGGCGCTGGGGCAGAGCGCAAGAGTTGGGCAGTGTCCAACTTTGCCGGCGGTCCCTTGCGATATTTTACCGTATGATTTTGTTACGACTGCACTGGTTCACATAATCGCAATGCGCCGGGAGAGGTTGCAAGAGACCCACTCCCGATGACTCCCGGCGTGTACCGGCGATATGTGAACCAACCCTTACTGTCATCGCTAACACAGCATTTTTAATGTTGTGTTAGCGATGACAGTAAGGGCAGTACGTGGCATGTGGCCTCCAATTTCCTAATACTTGGAAATTCTCCATGAAGTCCAAATTTGAAATTGCAACTTATTACTTAGCTTATGATATGGATAATGTTTAGTCATTAAAATGACTAAACATTACCCATATCATAAGCTAAGTAATAAGTTGCAATTTCAAATTTGGACATCACGGAGAATTTCCAAGTATTAGGAAATTGGAGGCCACATGCCACGTACTGCTCTTTTCTCTCCGAAACTCAACACTTTTTCCTTCTTTCGTATCTGGCTTTCAAGTGTTGAGTTTCGGAGAGAAAAGAGCAGTACGTGGCATGTGGCCTCCAATTTCCTAATACTAAGTAATAAGTGATGTGGTAGTTCATGCAGAGTTTGAATTGATTAAAGTTACTACAGCACAAGGAAGGGAATTGTGTGGTGCTCCCTACGTGGGAGCTCTCGCTTTTCCTGTCGCACCAACCTCTTCTGTACAAGGAAGGCCACAAGAAATCCTTGGTTTTGTCTCAGGTTTTGTCGGTGCCTTATTTTCCGGAGTATAAGATGCACTTTCAACACCAGTAGTTCACCGCAAAGCAGTAAGTAAGGCGTATACTGTGATGGGCAAATGAATCGTGAAAAACAGGGTAGATGTCTGTATTTCGTGACAACAAAATCTGGGTACGGCTTATTTAACGGAAAATGAGGTATCTCTTGTACAGAATGAAGTGGGGTTCATACAAATGCATCAGTACATGTACAGTCCAACCTCATTAGGATGAACACTGATAAGGTGAACTTTCATTTAGTACGAACTAGGGCCAATCCTATGGTTGGCCAGGCATCATCATATCAAGTCAAAATTATTCATTTACGACGAACTCTGCAGGGCGAACTTTCCCGAAGACGAACTAATTTCAAGCGTGATTTGAACAAAATCAGTGTGTAGTACGAACTTTCGGTCCCCGTGGGTACGCTGGCTGTAGATTCTTTCCGATAGTCGATGCCTCTTGTACTGGCAAAACATGTTACAAGGCGGATGTAATCATGTCATGAATTCATTGCACATTGTACTTACCTATTGCTGGCTTATGTTATGAAAAAATGTTTTACATTTGCGACAGCATGCATCTTCACATAAATTCAATCCATATGATGTGCATATCAATTATTTTGTCAGATCTGGATAAGAAGAACTCCGGATAAGATTAAAAAAACGTGTTTGGTCACTTGAAGCTCGTCCTAACAAGGTTTGACTGTACCAAGGCAAAGCCAACGGTCCAAATATCAACCTGGATCATGGGCATGTTGTGTTAAGTATCGGTGAATGTGGAGATGATGCGGGACTAGCAGTAGCAACAATTCGACCTGAGAACAACAAAATGAGAACAATAATATTATTTACCTGTTGCTGGTGTGGTGAAGTTTTGAATAAATGTGGGATATCCGTCAACCGGACGTGTGTCCTTTATTACACAGTATGGCCGCGGGTTACCGTAACTGGCATCCTCCTCAACAGGTGAGAAGACAATGGGACTAGTACGGTTACAAACCGTCACCATATACCTGTTGGACTTTGGTATGTTAGATACGGAATACCTCGTGAAGTAACAGCAGAACTCGGAGAAACGGTAATTTCCTGTGCTTGCAGAGATGTTCACAATGACCTTTGTTGGAAATATCTCCACAAAAACGCTTGGGTTTGGCGCAACTGCACAGAAAATAGGGGAAATGAAGTGAGAAATTAAGCGCTCAAGGTAATAGTCTTCGGTGCCAGATACCGTAAAAGTCCGTAAATAAGCATGCACATACTTTTGAATTTAGTGATCCCACCCGTACTCACTTTCGGGTGGGTACTCACTTTCGGGTGGGTACTCACTTTCGGGTGGGTACTCACTTTCGGGTGGGTACTAACTTTCGGGTGGGTACTCACTTTCGGGTGGGTACTCACTTTCGGGTGGGTACTAACTTTCGGGTGGGTACTCACTTTCGGGTGGGTACTCACTTTCGGGTGGGTACTCACTTTCGGGTGGGTACTAACTTTCGGGTGGGTACTAACTTTCGGGTGGGTACTAACTTTCGGGAAAAACTAACTTTCAGACCTGACTTGTGTGTAGTGGAGAAGTCATTTTCATAAAAAGAAAATGTACATGCTTACCGCTGATGTTTACGACGTAGTATACGCTACATGCGCTATGTGCGGTTTGCTGTGTGCGCTGTAGTTGTATGTTGTATGTGTATGCTTTTCTCATATACCCTGTCATTTTCACGCTATAACTACCTGGTGGTTTAGTGTTTTTCATTCATTTGTCGCGTCCCCGGCTCACAGTGACCGGACCCCGAAATCACTACGAGCGGCGACTGAATATAGACGTGTGGCCTCACGACAAGCCCAACACAACCCAGGGGCCAACCAATATAGCAGGCTTGGTCCAAGTTCAACTCCACACGATCAACAGACAAAGACTGTTAGTTTTACGTTGTGAGTAGTATCAAATCCGAGCTCAAAGTAAACGAAGACAGAGAGCTGAGACCGAGTCTCGACTGCTAGACTAGACTAGACTAGACTAGACTAGACTAAAACTGAAGTAAAAGAGAGAATGAGAGCTTCTTTTATAGGGTGCTTCAGAGATAATTATATGGCGTGATCATTGCGAGGTAATTCCAGGAAATAGCAGAACAAGTCAAACCGGAATGTGCGCAGCCAGTCAGCAGAAATGCAGAATATACGTACGGTGGTCATTCGAGAAGAAAGAGAAAGAAAGACATCGAGAGAAGAAAGACCAAATTGGGACGTGGGGAGCCCGCTCACCCACGTCAGAGTACAATGTGAGTATATGAGGGTCACGTTGGGGAGCCCGCTCACCCAACGTGCCATAGTTCAGTGGCTTCTTATGGTAAGTTCTGCTGCATTCTTGGTCTTGCTTGCTTGATACTCTGACCTCTCGTGCGGTCACTGCGGTGACGGTTTTGGTTCTTGCACACGTCTTGGCTCTGCACTCTTTGCACTTAGCTCGGTTGGTTAGTCTTGGCTCTTTGCACAAAGCACCGAGGCATCGTGGAAACCTGCAGAACATCGTAGTGACGTGGTTTTGAACAAAGCCTGGAGTCACATTTCCAGGAAGTGAAGCACTTCCAGGAAACGTACAACGCGAGAACCTACCTGACCAGGTTCCGGCCTTGGATCACATGACGTGTCATGCCAAGAAGGCATGTCACCTACGTGGGAAAGCGCGTGTCGCTCAACCTACATGCTAAGCACGTGGGACAAGACACTGGCCAAACCACGTTGTACTAAAAGGGTGTGACAGCTCAGCACAGAGCTGCTCACTATGTAGATCCTGCTGTCACAGGACTATCAGGCAGCAGTCGTCACGTTCAGGGACGTGACATTTCCCCCGCCGTTGAAGAATCACGTCCCCGTGATTATCCTCGACCGATATGGTAGTCGGTGAGATACCGCGACGTTGCCAGTTCCGGACGTGTCATCCACCAGGCTCCGCGACGGATACAATAGGTAAGTCAACTGGAGATGCAGGATGCAAGTCCAATCCACCACAGGTTTTGGTGCGAACACCATTGTCATCGGCCGAATACAGCATACTTAGCACTTGTATCGGGCTCATACTACTGAACAATATCACTGACTGCTCACGAGAAAATACAATTCCTCGCCAGGTGCCAGGCACATAAAGCATTCACTCAATCCGATGGTGCTACACAGTTGTGACACAAGATCGGTAAAGAGCTCGTAGTAAAATCCATCCGGTAACGAGCAAATAATTGGGACCTCAGGCGCAACAACAACTCATCATCCCCAGATGAGTCTCGCCTACCAGGCTCCTCGACGCAGGGCGTCCCCTGATCAGCCAACACTGTGCTCGTGGGATCCAGATCCAAATCATCCTCTCCCACCACAGCCTTTCCACTTCAGTTCTAGGACCTCGTCCTATATGAAGTGCAGACCATACTTCTTCGGCCCCAGGAATCCCATCCTGGCCTGTATGGTCACCACCGTCCCCTTCTCCGTTGCTCACTACGCAAGCTCATCACCCGCCGAAATCGGCTACAACTGACCGATCCGGGTGCCTCATCCACAGAGACCAACTGACTCCTCTGAGCAGTACACAATCCGAACCGGTGCACAGTTCAGTCATTTGTCGAGGATGCAAAGGCACCCATCAACATCACACGCCACAGTTCCTTCCGCAGGACACTGGTCAACTCCCATCAAGGTCAAGACAAGGACCGCGGCGACTATACACTCCAGCACATACTAGTAGGTCATGTACTGTTCGGCCATCCTCTCAACCAACTTTTTTTTTCACAGAACGTCTTGAAGAATGAAGATCGACAACAAGGTCAGAACTTCTCCATCCTCGCGACATACATGATCGTCAAGAACATTCGCAGATAAAACTGCGTCCGCCAGCACCAAAGCTGGGCGTGACACAAATCTTCGTCTGGTGCGTCGACACGCAGAACAAGATTTGAATTCGTCCACAACCAGCGACGTGGTCTACATCCTCCCATCGTTTCAGCCATGAAACAACCGGGTCTTCAAACAGCACTCATGGCGACTGAGAACAAACTGAGTCCGAATGTCAGTAAGGCCTCATCGTTGAAGAGACGACTTATCAAGCTTCAAGAGCTTCAAGCGGTCTCAACAAGCACCATGTCCGGACAGTGGCGTTTTCTTGTCGAAACTTGAAAACTGCACGGCACTGCTCCGTGATCCAGTCGTAGTGACTACTTTCACAACGCTCCGTAAAGAGGACCCAAGCCCTGCTTACGGCTCACATGGTACACGGGTTCACGAACCCTTCCATATCTGAAGCTGAACAAACGCGCACTGCACTCGTACTTGAGAACTGCATGAATGCAAACCACTCCTCGATCGATTGTGCAACTGGCAATAAATTTCGCACCTTGGTGTCCGCAGCAAAGCAAGCTCGTCGTGCACTACGAACTCGCACTACAGCGCTACAGGAACACGAGGTACGGAACGAAAGCCAGTGCTGGATACGAAAGAGAAAACGCATTTGGATTTTTCTTCGTACCAAGTTGGAGCGTCCAACACTGCTGTTGCTCTGCCACGTCTATCGCCAAAAACCTGCCATCAGAGACAAGGTTGTTCACGAAAGACTGCCGTGGACATCGCGTCGTTGCAGTTACGGAGTGAGGAGAACTTAGACCATCCTGGTCACAGCACCAAATGTCGCGTCCCCGGCTCACAGTGACCGGACCCCGAAATCACTACGAGCGGCGACTGAATATAGATGTGTGGCCTCACGACAAGCCCAACACAACCCAGGGGCCAACCAATAATAGCAGGCTTGGTCCAAGTTCAACCCCACACGATCAACAGACAAAGACTGTTAGTTTTACGTTGTGAGTAGTATCAAATCCGAGCTCAAAGTAAACGAAGACAGAGAGCTGAGACCGAGTCTCGACTGCTAGACTAGACTAGACTAGACTAGACTAGACTAAAACTGAAGTAAAAGAGAGAATGAGAGCTTCTTTTATAGGGTGCTTCAGAGATAATTATATGGCGTGATCATTGCGAGGTAATTCCAGGAAATAGCAGAACAAGTCAAACCGGAATGTGCGCAGCAAGTCAGCAGAAATGCAGAATATACGTACGGTGGTCATTCGAGAAGAAAGAGAAAGAAAGACATCGAGAGAAGAAAGACCATATTGGGACGTGGGGAGCCCGCTCACCCACGTCAGAGTACAATGTGAGTATATGAGGGTCACGTTGGGGAGCCCGCTCACCCAACGTGCCATAGTTCAGTGGCTTCTTATGGTAAGTTCTGCTGCATTCTTGGTCTTGCTTGCTTGACACTCTGACCTCTCGTGCGGTCACTGCGGTGACGGTTTTGGTTCTTGCACACGTCTTGGCTCTGCACTCTTTGCACTTAGCTCGGTTGGTTAGTCTTGGCTCTTTGCACAAAGCACCGAGGCATCGTGGAAACCTGTAGAACATCGTAGTGACATGGTTTTGCACAAAGCCTGGAGTCACATTTCCAGGAAGTGAAGCACTTCCAGGAAACGTACAACGCGAGAACCTACCTGACCAGGTTCCGGCCTTGGATCACATGACGTGTCATGCCAAGAAGGCATGTCACCTACGTGGGAAAGCGCGTGTCGCTCAACCTACATGCTAAGCACGTGGGACAAGACACTGGCCAAACCACGTTGTACTAAAAGGGTGTGACAGCTCAGCACAGAGCTGCTCACTATGTAGATCCTGCTGTCACAGGACTATCAGGCAGCAGTCGTCACGTTCAGGGACGTGACACATTCATACATTCATTGTTCATTATTGTTAGTCGATGGAAGTGAAATATACTGTTGAGAATAAATAGTTGTCCTCGTGCCGTGTGGGGTCGTTCGTTCCTGACACTTTAGAGAACCAGAGGGTTCACAACATCCGCAGTATGGAAATTGACTGAAATTGTACGGGAAAAGAGAAGTATGGATCTGCTGACTATAAACCAGTTTTACACATGACTACATACTTTACCTGTGCATGTACATGTATGCAGAGCACATAAAACTGCGAAGTACACGCTAAAACAGTGTTCCATTCGACTCACTACCCCGACGACTACAACTAAACAGGTGAAAATTTGATTTTAGCCTTTACTTCCCCTTTAAATATTCATTATTTTCGCAAAATATACATTATAAATCGTGGGATTAAAACAATTTGGTAGTACGCAAAACTCTGGAAAATACGGAGGGAAATTCAGCCGCCCGAGTACGCAAATCAGACCGAGCAGATTGGCAGATTGAATTCTGATTGCGCCACCCACACTAGTAGCATGCATTACCTTCACTGGGGCAGGGGTAAATGCAGTTATTATTATTTTTTATGGTGAAAAAGGAGGACAAAATGTTACGAGTTATGACTAACTGTCCACCAACGTAACCAGATCTTATACAGTCAGCGAGTGCGACAAAATGGCACAAAACTGACAAAGGAGTACTGAGACATTTGGCGACCTGACACCTAGCTCCAACACTTCTCCAATGCGCAAACCAACAATCTTCCAACCTCTCTCCCCTCTCCCGGGGTGACCCAGGTGACTAGTTTTGGCAGTGAGCAAGTACAGTACAGTACAGTACAGTACAGTACAGTAGTGTGTGTGTGTGTGTGTGTGTGTGTGTGTGTGTGTGTGATCTAGCCCAGAGAGCGCGTCTTCCTGAAGACATTGGCACTCTCCTGCGTGAGTACCGTCTGCGTTGGCTGGGTCATGTTGCCCGTATGGACGCGGCACGGATTCCTCAATAATTGTTGTTTGGGGAGCTCGAGGCAACCAGACCACGGCATGGGCCAAAGAAGCGTTGGCGAGACACGATTGTCGGTGATCTGCGCTCACTGGATATTCCGGAGTCCGAGTGGTATCGGCTCGCGCAAGATCGCCCGGAATGGCGCAGGTGGGTCCATCAACATCGTCTTCCTCCCCCGGCACCGAAGGACTTTCACTGCGCATGCGGCAGAGCGTTTAGGAGAAGTGGCGATTTGAAGCGTCACATCAAGTACTGCCCAACTCAGTAGCCTATCATCTCCACTGGAGATGGGGCGTCAAAGGTCAAAGGTGTGTGTGTGTGTGTGTGTGTGTGTGTGTGTGTGTGTGTGTGTGTGTGTGTGTGCACGTATGCATGTGTGTGCGTGTGTGTGTACTTCCTCCGTATACAAAAACTTCGTGACTTTTTTTCAACGGTGTTTTTGAGCAAGAACCTGCTCAACGAACCGCACCAAAGGCTGTCATAGACAACCCACATTCATGTGATGTAGGTTTGGTTGATCTCGAACAGATTCTCTACGGAAGCCATGCGTGCGAGGACGTTGCCGACAGGAACTCACGAGTCAAATGACAAAAAAATAGCACTAACTTGCTCGAAACTGACACCGTGACGAAGTGGAGCTCGCGCCTGGAGCACGGAGTCACGACTCACGCTGCACTCGCTGCCCTGAAACTGGCCAGGCTCGTACTTGCGGTGCACGGCCCCATACGCAGCGTGACAACATAAATCGGTTCAGCTCGCACGGAAAGATGAAACATTTGAGTCGTTGTGCAACCAGCGCAGACTCCGGATCGGAATGTCGACGACCTGGCTTTCTTCGCCTCTCTCTACTCCAGTCGGACGTCTCCGTTGTGGCCTAGGGGAATCGCAGGGACCTCGTCGAAGCCGTTGTAGAATGCTGGGAGGATTCTCCTGCCGAGAAAATGCGAAGCGTGTGGATGTGCTTGAGCGACTCGTTTCACGGCATAATGGAGGTCGCGGGTTGGAACGACTGAATATAGTCGACGTCGATGCGTACACAGCTCTGGAAATGAAGAGTACGCTAGCCAAAGTCCCGCGTCGGATCATCATTGCAGCTGAAAAGAATCTGAACGAATTGCGAGCGGAAGCAGCGACTTTTGGCGATGCGGTGTCAGTGTCGTCAGGTGACAATGACAGGAGCGACGAAGACTCTGAATAAACTCAATCTCATTCGTCTGAGTTGCTTTTTTTTGTATATAGCTTGTAAACAGGTTAGACAATGCCACGAGTGTTATTCCAAGTCAAACGGAACAATTCCAGAACTATGCACAGCCTTAAAAAAAAGTCACGAAGTTTTTGTATACGGAAGAAGTATAATTATATGTATGCATGTGTGTACATAGCAAACTCAGCGCAGGACGTTCAGGTTGGTTGTAACTCTGAGTTTCATGCCGTTAGGCAATCATCAGACAACTGATACTCGGGTCTACCCAACAGTATGCTTATAATCACATAGGGCCACAAGCATAAACTAATTTAGCGCTAAATCTGGTGTGAGGTATGGGGAGAAAGCTGGCGCGGGCCAAGGCACGACAGTAGAAGTGCCAGGAGGGTGGCGGGCAACAGGCAGGTGTGAGCATGAAAGCGCGGGAAGAAGCGATGGGGAGGCAGTGTACAGTTTTCTCCCCATACCTCACACCAGATTTAGCGCTAAATTTGTTTATGCTTGTGGCCCTATGTGTTTATAAGCATACTGTTGGATAGACCCGAGTATCAGTTGTCTGATGGTTGCCTAACGGCATGAAACTCAGAGTTACAACCAACCTGAACGTCCTCCGCTGAGTCTGCTATTTACTAAGCTCTGTCTCTGACATTGAGCACTCTCTGCAGCTCGGGGATCAACGGATTTGTATGCATGTGTGTGTAATTATATGTATGCATGTGTGTGTGTGTGTATAATTATATGTATGCATTAGGGGTGAAACGATTAGTTCGAATATTCGAGTATTCGTTCGAAAATTTCCAACGAGCGAGTATTCGAAATTTTGCACTCGATCGTTTTTTATTTATTTATTTATTTTTTTTATTTTTAGGATTGGCATTGTTTTTTAAAAAACTTTTGTTGTACCGCTGGTCCACTGGTATGCATGCGTTATGCATGGCTTTGAGTCAGTATTTTAAGACTTGGACGATGCGATCACCACGGCAAGTAACGTTCTGAGATATGAAAGTACTGATGAAAATCGTTACTTTACACTCTGTACAAGACGTTGGCGACTTTTGTTCTATGTTCACAGATAATTTCTTCCGAATTGGTCGAGAACTTGCAAATCTAGCGCTTTTGAATTTTGATAAAATACTCGAAATAATCGGATACTCGATCGAATATTATGAACGAGTGATCGGTTGGTCAAAATAGATACTCGTTTCACCCCTAACTATGCATGTGTGTATACGTATATGAGCCGTCAGATGCGAAAAGGGTGCTTATGGCAGCACAGAGCAAATAGAGTAAAGTGCATCAGAGTGACAGGCTGTCAAGTACCTGTCACATGCATGAGTGAATCTTGATGTGACGTCATTTTTTCGATCGTTGCGGGATATGGATGAGTGTGAGTGTGCATCCCCGGCCCGGCGCTGGTATGTACACTAGCGCACTGCTGAGATTCCCAGCTTTTCGTAGATACTTCAACCGGCCTGAAACTCCAAAGCACGGCGGATTTACATACAAAAGAAACTGCCTTTTTTGTGGCGCAGTTCTCACGAGCTCCGTTCTGATTCTGAACGAAATTCTTTTGTCTCCTGACCTAAATTGACGATATCTTCATGATGGGTTTGGATTTTTGAGTCCGGTTTTTTGGAGGTGAAGCATAAAAGCCTATAGAGTTTGCTTGAGTCCTTATCTCAATTTGACCAAAATATGCCATAAGCACCCTTTTCGCATCTGACGGCCCATATGTGTATACTTATGTGTGTATACGTAGGTACATGTATGTGCAGGTACAGTCTACTCGCATTAAGCCGCGCACCCTATCTTGAAGAAAAGAAATGCGTGACTTATCGCGAGTGCGCGACTTACACAATAGTATACGTATATAAAACATATATGCCGTCCAAATTGCAAAAGTGCGCGACTTGTCTCGAGAGCGTGACTTAAAATTTCATGACTTATCGCGAGTAGACTGTACTCGTATGCGTACATGTACTGTATGTATCCATACAGGAGGCGTGTGTGTGTGTGTATATTATTATGTGTGTATGTGCGTATGTGTGTATACGTGTATGTGTGTATGTGTGTATGTGTGAATGTACTGTATGTATCCATACAAGAGGCGTGTGTATATTATGTGTGTATTATGTATGTATGTGTGTATATTATGTGTGTATGTACTGTATGCGTGGACCGTATTATCTCTATTAACTCAGTCTCTTGTAGAAGCCCAGTCTCTATTATAAGCGCACTCCAAGAGGGCTTCGAAGATGTACAAGCGCAGGGCTTATAAAGGAGAACTGTATGGATCATGTCCATGCATGTTTGACATCACACAGTATCACATAAACACATGCTGTGGTAAAGGTCTGTGATCCCTGAAATCTAATGTTCAGACTGAGTGTACCTGGAAGCACAAAACTGCAGTCTCGGTACCTGCTAGGAAACTTTGTGCTACTGATACAATGAAAAATAATAGGTAATTTATATGTACCAGGTGGTTGAAAAACTATAAGCCCAGTCTCTAGTAGAAGCCCAGTCTCTAATCCGGACTGGTTGAAAAAATATAGGCGCGGGCTTATAATGGAGATAACACAGTATGTGTGTGTCCGTGCATGTGTGTCTGTGTGTGCGTTTGTGCATGCATGTGTGCAAATGACTCGTGTGGATGGGTGTGACATGAGTGTGCGTGTGTACTTGAAGGTGTCCAGGAGTGCCAGTAAACTAGTTTTTTTTACTGTGATGTTGATTTCTGGCTATACCCGTGACCTATCCATTTCTTGTTGGTCTGTGCTGACTTCACAGTCCGGACTTACATTCTTGTGTGGTGGTAGCTTTTACCGGAGAAGTATATGGGCCAATACCACCAGTTGAGATTGCTGCTACCTCAATGTTGTATGTATAACCTGGGTCCAAGCCGGGTATGTTAGCTTTCTCTGACAGGGTCACATTGAACATGGTTACGACCATTCCTTCATCTGTATATTTCACACTGTAACCCAGTAATTCCCCGTTCAGACGCAGATAATCAACTGGTGTCCAGGAAATAGAGATAGATGTAGGTGATTTTGATCCGATGGTCAGTGCTCCCGGGGGATCATCTGGAGCTGCAGAACATAATTATAGTAAAAGCAGTACATAGCAACATGGTAAAACAGGGATATATACCCGCAGGGCCCGATATGCGTGCAATGATGGCCAACCCTAAATTGGTACCCAAACGGTGTCTGCATTTTGTGGAGTGGAACCAGCAAGTTCCCTATAAAACGACCTTTTAAAGCGACATTACTCATGCAGTCTTCATAAGAAGAAAAGAGGACCAAAGAGCTGCAAGTTATGCTATAATATCCACTGGCATCACCAGTTACTTTACAATCAGATCATGCGATAACATTGCACGATACTTGACAAAGGTACACTTAATTAACTGGCGCTCAGCTCAAGCAAGCGGTTTTTATGAAAGGAAGATGCAATATGATATTGAATAATGTTGTCTTCAAAGTGTTTGTGGAGCAATGCAAACATGAACAAGCAGTGGTGGAGAAGAAAAATATGCAATAGTCGTCAAGGAGTGTCCAGAAATGTTTCTTAGTTTTTTCGGCTGCTACCGTTCGCGTCTCGTATACACCGTGGCATTCGAACCACGATCAAAATACAGTCGAACTCTACCCTTATAACAGTAACATGTCGTGGTTTGTCTCCACCCAAGTCTAAGTACTCAGTGTTCAGTATTCTCTGGTAAAGCTCCCCACAGATTATATGAAACTTGAATACAGATCCTACCTCCAGGCACAACATCAGTACAAGAAGTAGCAGTATGGCAGGCAAGGGGTAATTCCACCTGTACGTGATATCGGTTTAATAACGGCAAAAACTCAGTCCCACATACTATGAAGGTTGTACCAGGGCCTTTCCCACTAAGAAAAGTTCTACCATCTTGATAGAAATACATAGGGCTATAGCTGGTTTAGCTATAGCTGGAGCTTGAGACCACGATCGGCACCCCACAGGGCGACTGCCTATCTCCAGTTCTTTTTGTCATTTACTGGGAATCAGCGCTACGTGATCTCAAGGCCACGTTACCTCCCAGGCTGCCAGCTGATGAGCTCTTGCCTGGGGAAGTTATCTATGCTGATGATACGGATTTTCTGAGCAGCTCACGGACATGGTTGGATATTTTCAGCCCAAGCATAACTGAGGTCCTCAGAGAATGGCATCTCAAAGTGAACGAAGAGAAAACTGAGCAAAAAACACTACGCAGAGAAGGGGATCGTCTAGCGGAAGTCTGGAGAAAGACATGTAAGCTTGGGTCACTTCTGGGTGATGAACAAGACGTGATCAGAAGGAAGCAGCTCACAACAGCTGCTTTCAGGTCACTCTTTGCTGTGTGGTGTTGACGAGAGCTTATCAGTGAGAAGATGCGCCAGAGGCTCTATCAGGCGTTTGTCATACCAGTACTGACCTACACTGACGGCGGAACATGGGGCTTGAAGGTGGCTTTGGAGCAGAGTCTCGATTCCTTCCACCGTCAGCAACTGCGATCACTACTTGGCATTAGTTGGCGTCAGAAGATGACGAATGTCTCTTTGTACGCCAGGTGCAAAGCTGAGCAAATCACCAACATTCTCAAGCGTCTGCGGTGGCAACTCTTGTATTGTATACCTGTGTTTACTGCTTACTGCTTACTGCTGCTTTATTGTTCCTAGTATCAGTTTAGTTTAGTTTAAATATCTCTTATTATTATTATTATTATTATTTTTTTTTTTTTCTCACCCCACACCCCTCTACTCTGTTATCGGCCCTCTTAAGAGTTGTGTTCATCACTGTTGAGGCTTCCGATGGAAAATAAAAGACTACTACTACTACTAACTCTTTGGTCACATTCTCCGCTTGCCAGAGGACACCCCAGCATCATTGGCAATGGCGGCGTATTTCACGCACGATGAGAAGACCTGGCGAGGACGCCCACGTGTCACAATTGTCTCGAAGCTGTCGGGAAACCTGGCGAAAGCGGATAATGGAAGGCTTGTGTCGCTTGGTGACTTGCAGCGCCTACGGATCCTGGCAAGGGACCGTGCAGGGTGGAGAGGACTCTGTGCCGTCGTATGTTTCTCTTGACTGGTTTACACAGAACGGATATATATTATGATGTCATTTGATTTATGGTTTTGGCAGAGCATTCTATTTCCGGCATATGCGAATATGTGGGTTGCCATTGTTCGGGTGACATTGCCGCGGAAATGCATATAATAATAATAATATACCGTATTTTCCGGGGTATAAGCCGCACCGGGGTATAAGCCGCACCCCACTTTTTGAGGAAAAATATTAACTAATTGTTGGTATTCGGAGTATAAGCCGCATCCACAAACCAAGATTTTTCACACTCATTGACAAATGGCCTTTCTACAAATTTATTATGGTTATGGAGCTAAATACCATGTTAGATCAGATTATGAAGTGTAAGTGCACCACAGGTTGCTGCAGAGATGTTGGTGTATTGCTGTGTTGACTACAGATCACTCCATGTCATCTGCACTATCTTCAGTCTCGCTGCCACTGATGTTGATCAAAGCTACCTCTGCAGCGATGCCGTCGCCGTCTTCATTGCTGCCGGAGTCTGAATCATTGTGGTCCTCAAAGATCATGTCATCTTCTGTCGCGGCGACCTTGTCGCGCGATTTGTATCATGTTTGTGCCTGTTCTTGTTTCAGTACAAAACGCTAGTTCCATGCCCACGTTCCCGTGCTTTGTATGACTTGTTCTGGCCCACGTATGCATGACTGTACATGTACTTGTCAAGGCACGTGCATGCAGCACAGTTTGACGCGCTTTTGGGAATGTGTTTTTTCTTCTCCCACGGTGGTGGGTTATGCGGCTCTTCTTGGACACGAGTGGTTTTTCAGTTTTGTTGTTCTCTAGCATTATTCATGGAAAGAGCGATTACTACAGACTCCTTTGTCCTATGATGTGTGCCACCTGTAGAGGTGAGATCGGACTTGTGACCTGTGTTGATAAATCGAGAGATTGGGAATCCTAATCTTTCGACATCTTCAGTGCCGTCCAGTGCATTTGAAATTGAGCACTTTTTGAATGATTTGGCGACCATTGTAGTTGGGATGGTCTTCCATGACTCATCCACCCATTTGCATACTTTGGAAATTGATGGCTTCTTCATACGGCCTGTTGGTGTAAACTCATGGTTTCCACCAATGATCCAGTCTGTCCAGTGCTGCCTGATGTGGCACTTGAATGGCTTGTTGAGGCACACATCAAGTGGCTGAAGCTGGGATGTCAGACCACCAGGGATAACAGCAAGGTCGGTCCTTGTTTCTTGAGCACGTCTTTTGAAGTTCTCTACTAGATGTGCACGAAACGAGTCAAAGACAAGGCAGCTTCGAACAGGGGTGCTCCTACGGCCACCTTGCCTTGCACACCAAACCTTATCCAGCCACATATGCATTCCAGCTTCATCCATCCAGCCTTTGGGGTGAACGTGGACAATGATATCAGGCGGCACTGCATCCTTTGGCATAGTCTTTCGCTTGAAAATGACAAATGGCCGTAACTTTGTCCCATTGGCAAGGCATGCTAAAGCCACAGTAAAGTGCTCTCGTTCGTGCCCTGTCGTTTTGATGTGAATAGCCTTCGCTCCAATTTTGTCGATAGTGCGGGACAAGGGCATGTCGAAGTTCAGAGGTGTTTCATCCATATTGCCAATCTAATCTAGCGGATACTTGTTCTGTTCTCTCAACCTGATGACGTTGCGCTGAAAGGACAGAATCTTCTCCTCAAACTCGTCCGGCAGTCGCTGGCACAGGTGAGTCTTCACCCGGATAACAAGGCTATGTCGCTTCATGAAACGATAGCACCAACTAACAGTTGCGTTGAAACTTACGGCGTTCATCTCCTTTGCGAAGACTTTCGCTTTTAGGCGAATCATTGTGCCACTCAATCCAATCCCATCTTCTCGATTTTTCTCGATCCATTCGAAAACCTTACGCTCAAGTTCATTCCATCGTGGCTCGGGTCCAGCATGTAGCGATTTGGATGCGACTTTCTTCTTCGACAGCTCGACTTTCTGTTTCCGCCACTGGTGGTGGCTCCGGTGGCGGCAAGGGCAACGGTGGAGAAGGCACATTCGGTTGGCTTAGTGATCCACCACTCTTCCTTTGCACCGTGTGTTCGACTTGCTCTGGTTGTGTCGGTGGTAGAGGGAGCGGGTTCTTGCGTGGTCTTCCCCGCTTCGGGCGCTTCGCTTTTGCTGCGTCCGGCAGCATGTGAAGTGGTACATGCTGCTTGATACGTGCGCTCAGGTGTTGAAGGGTCCTACCAACGTACCGGCTATCACAATTCCGGCACTCAAATTGGTAGACCAAGTGGCTCAATAGGTGGGATGGTAGGACATCCTTCCTCACCGTGAACGCACGTATCGTAGTGAACACAGGGATGAAGTGCGCTGCAAAGTATGTTTGTGCCGCCACCGGAGCCACCACCAGTGCCGTTGGTGGCTGGGGTTGGGGAGGAGTCGGCAACAACAACAGTACCGCCAATCACAGAAATTGAGCCCATTTCTTTGACACAGTATCCGGCTGTGCGGACACCGCAGCACCCTCCGGCGATTGATCCGTGGGTCCAGAGACCACGGAGGTCGACCGCCAATTATTCAACCGAAATATATGCTAGGAATGGCCAAGGCCCACGCGGAGCATCGAAGGAGACCGGAAGCCGGGGGCAAAACGGAACACAATCTCGGGACGTAGATGAGGTAAGGACAGTGACACGGGACAGACGTAGGAAGGAGAACATGGATGGTATCAGACGACTGACTGGTGGTGAATATGAGTTGGGTGATGATGCGGCGGATGACGAGAATACAGATGACGACGAGGCGGATGACGGCGAGGATACAGATGACGACGAGGCGGGTGATGACGAGGCGGCGGATGAAGACGAGGCGGATGACGGTGAGACGGCTGGTGGTGATGGTGATAAAACGGACGAGGAGGAGTCAGGTGGCAGGGAAGGTGATGGAGCTGATGAGGGTGAAATTCGTAAGAAGTCAGCTGTGTATTTGCATTTGTTATCTCGTCCCGATTGTTTGAGTGTGTATGATGATTCCCACTTCTCTGTACTGTGCCGTGCCCGTTATGTCCAGCAGTTGAAGGTCCTTGAAGCTGTTTGTATTCGTACGCATAAGCCCGATTTGTGTAAGCAAAAAGAACATGTTTTAGCACTTAGGTTATTTTCGTGAGTTTGCACCCCGTGTTCATGAGTTGTTTCTGCACTGTTCATGCCCGTTTGTCACACTTACTCTTTATTTTAGTTCTCACTTTTTGTAATACTTACCACAAGTTACCCGTCGTGTGTCACACTTCTTTGGATTTTTAACCTTTGTTTTCCCCTTGTTCTCTTTAGTTCCGTATTTCCACTGATGATCGGAACGTGAAAATCGATTTTGGAAACACACAAAACCAAACCTTGAACAAATTGTCATGTTGCGTGGTGATGTCTGCGGCATTCATACTTTTCATTGCTATTATTAAACTTTTATCTCCACGTAGATTATTTGAATATCGAGTACCTGCTGGTTTAGTTATCACATTGTTCATTGTAGCATTCTCGCCAATATGCCCTTCTGTATTGTTGGCAAACGCTGTCAGGCTATACATGGCATCTTCTTCAGTTCCAGTCAGATTGAGGTATATGGTTTGGCTGCAAAGACGTATGGTTTTTTCCTTTGAATCAGTTCCGGACACGGAAAGTTGCGTGAAGTCACAGTAGTAATTTGCAACATCGAATTGTCCAGTCAGTTTGGTGAAAGTCACAGATATCCATGTTGTTGATGTTGAAACCATGAACATGGGTGCTGGCGGTGCTGTTTGCAAATAGAGTACAAACAAAGCACCACTAGTAAGCTGTAAGCATGATGAAGACAACGTGCAAACTTGAAGTGAGTCATGGCTGCACGAGAGAGTGCCCACCACACCGCGATACCGGTCCTTGTGCACATACAGTAAAGCATGCTGAAGGCTGTGTTAACATGAGAACTTTCAACCCCGGGTTGAAAGTCTGTACGATTGAAAAAAAATAGGGAGGGGGGAGTGCTTACATGAAAAAAGTTGACCCAGGTCAATTACTGATATGCCGAGAAAAGTCCACTTCTAGAGTGCTGTATGGCCACGTGACTACTTTCGCGCGAACGTTGCCTTTCCAGTGCTGCGCAAACCTGGCACGAAATATGCACAGAGGTAAGGTAGTGCGATTCCTTGATTTCAACCCTCCCTTGATGGAAGGGTTGAAATTTCCAGGTCAGCTGCAATGTGTCATGTAAATGATCCATCCAGTCAATCTATCTGTGCTCATGGTGGGTTGAAATTTGACCCAGGTTGAAAACTTCCATGTAAATACAGCCTTTTAAGCGACCACTCAACAGACCTTCAACATGGATGCAACATGTTTAAGATCGATCAATATTTATCATTGCACGGAATGGAGCAGTGACACATGGATACGAGTCACGAGCATCTGTACTGTAACTAGATACAATGTAGTATAGGAATGGACTGTATTATCTAGTAGTTTTGTGCTACAGCGGTTGGTACATGTACTCAAACTGCATGCACGTGGTATCCGCTGGAATTAGGGTGGATCAGGAGCTAGCTTTTGCCGGTGCCTCCCGGCGCTGGTTTGGTGTGTGCCAGCCAACCCTCAAGGAGCTTGGGTTTGGGGCAGTGATGGGGTTTGTAAGTCATTACTACTCGGCGTTTTTGTGTGGTTTTGAGTGGCTCTTCAGTACCTTTTGGAGTAAAGGATTTCTGATACAAACGTTCTTGATAGGAGAATGGAGTTATCCTTGAGGTACAAGAGGCACATCATTTTTCCGCTTCAGCAGTGCTCAATCATTGCGGACTCTGACAGCTTCCACCTTCTTTTTTATTTTATTATATTTGTTTACTAAAGGCCATGTGGTGCATGCAATGGGAACATGCAGCAGCCATGGTGGTGGGGGCCTTTGACTGCTGCATTGGTAATGTCATCCGTCTGCTAAGGGCCAGCAAAAAGCGGGTCTTTTTCCTGAAAACACACCACCTCAAAAAAAAAGAGTCCGTAACTCGGACACTCATTCTCCATATTCCACTGTGTTAACCCCCTACTACCTGTCTACAGACTTTCAATCATATGATCGACCACAAAAACCTTCGTAACTCCACCATTTCTTGTGCAAATTCAACAATGGAAGAGTATCAGTGAATATCACGTGCATGCAGTTTCAGTGTTTCAGTACATGTACCAACCGCTGTAGCACTAAAACTACTAGATAATACAGTCCATTCCAATACTACATTGTATCTAGTTACAGTGCTGTGCAGTTGCTCGTGACTCTTACAAAACCGTGAAACTCAGAGGTACAGCAAAACGCTTGGATTCCTTCTTTCAAGTGTGTATTTGAGGAACACGTAAAGAGCATGGACATAATCTAGAATCACATAATAGTACGGGCTTGGCAGTTGATAGGTTGAAAAAAAACTGGCCAAATGAGAATAACTCATTGTCTTACCATCCTGGGTGGTAGAACTTTGCAGGCGACTCTCGTAGCTGCCGGTACCACCGGTTGATTTAGCGACCAGTGATAAGTTGTATGTTGTATCAAAAGTTAGTCCTGAGAGTGTTGCATGGGTGTTGTTGGTACTGGCCGATGTCACATGTCTGCCATTCTGATATGCACAGTCAACATGGTATGCAACCAGCTTTCCATTCAGCTTGTATGGGTCTACAGCAGTCCAGTTGAGTGTTACTGTTGTTGCTGTTCTGGAGTCCAAGGTAAAGTTGCCAGGTGCCACACTTGGAGCTGTCCATAATGAGGTGAAATAGAGAGATAGAAATAGAGATAGATTCAGTTTGCTAATAGTCGTGACTACGTTTCAGAGTTACTCGTTTCAGAGTTACAAATGTATGCTTCTCTCTCAGATCAGTATTTATCCAGAGAAGTATTTACTACTAGTATCCAGAGAAGTATTTACTAGTAGCCAGAGAAGTATTTATACAGAGAATTATTTATACGAACCCAAGTATTTCCACAATCAGTCTTTCAGTCTAATCAATAAATCTCCCAACCAAGTATACTCGTCAGAGTCTAAAATTATTATCTTGTCCGTCGGTCTATGTAACGATAACGACGCGACAGTTACCCTATGATGCTGTGATCCTGTGCCCTCCCGACCTCGTGCTACTGGTGCGTTCGGGTCCCGTCATTCGCGATTTAGGTGGATCAGTTCGCATTTGGGGGACAATGGGCCAGTTCTAATTTCTTACTTTTACGACGGGGCAGCACCAGTAAAGGTTTTTCAGAACCGCTCACAGAGCGGTTTTTATATGGATAATTACTGTATGGTGCTTTGGTTGCATGACTTCCTGCCAGCTCTACAGCGCGGCATGTTCCGCCACTGTGTATTATTGTACACTGCTTTGGTTGACTTCCGGTGCTGCACTGCACGTGCAGCTGCACTCTGGAACGTGCAAGTCTTGTAGTATGCGTTCCTGCACCGACCCGGGGTCGTTGGGCATGCGTGTTTGCGCCGACCCGGGTCGTTGGTGCTTTCTCTTAGTATATTTCACATAGCTGTATGGATTTATTCCTTTAGAACCTTTCTAGACCCAGAAGAAGACGGTTGTGTTGTTTTGGCTGCGTGTCGTGCGGGCCAGTGAGTGCCGTGTGGGGTTCGTGAACCGCAGGAGAAAACAAGTCTAGTTGTAGTTTCGTAACATCTGGTGCCGAAACCCGGGACTCAGTAAACATGTCGATGAAATTAGACAACCAAGTTTCTGCGAGTGTTCCGCGGGAACGGGGATGACCGGGAGCGGGTTTTTGAGAAGTTCCTCGTGCTCGCCAGTATCCAGGGCTGGCACACGGAGACGAAGAGGATGAAGAGCCTGCCTCTTTTCCTCGACGGCGACGCGTTCCTGGTGTGTTCACGCCTGAGCGCCACGGACCGCAAGGTCCAGGGCACAGTCGTCTCGAAGATGCAAGAGTCGTTTTGTATCGCGAAGGCCTAGGCCTACAAGTGTTTCCCTCAGCGTCGGCTGAAGGTGGACGAGGCCGTCGACGCTTACATCACCGATCTGCAGCGTCTGGCGGGGCTGGCTGGCCACGACGCATCCGATGATAAGGACCCGATGGTCGTCGAGCAAATAGAGTGCGGTCTTCCGGCGGAATTTCAGCGCGAGCTGAGGCTGGCCATGGCCGGGAAAGAATACTCCGTGAGCGGCTGTACGGACCTGATCCGAGCACTGCGGACTGCTGCCACCGACGCTCGTCAGTCAGTACAACAGCCCGTGGCTGCTGCGATGCCAGCGTCTAGCGCCCAGTCGAGCGGCACCTCCACTGGAAACGGAGTGTGTTTTAACTGCCAGGAAGTCGGCCACATCAGGCGCAACTGCCCTCACCTGCAGCGGGGTGCACCACGGAGTGGCGGTGGACCAGGAGGTGGCGGTTGCCAGAAGGGCGCGACGCAGCTGAGTTGCTATTTCTGCGATGGCGTTGGGCACGTCAAGGCGGACTGCCCTGAGCGGAAGCCGTGGCTAGCCCGCAAGAGGGGCGCAGCTGCCGCGGGAGAGGACGCAGCTGCACAGAGCAGCAGCAGCGACCCCTGCCTCTGCACGGTTGCTGCACGGTCTAGAGGAGCGCTGCCGCGCGTGTACATGGACATCCGACCTGCCAACGGTCCTGGCCAGGAGTGGGCGCGAGCGATGGCCGTCGTCGACACGTGTGCGAGTCACTCGCTCGTCTCTGCGAAGTTTCTACAGGCCTGCAACATCCCGTACAGTGATGACGTGTCCGTCGGGATGGTTGCCCTGGATGGTAGCGAGATCGACCTGATCGGCACCGTCAACCTTGACGTCCAGCGGCAGGACGGCCCTGTGTTTCTACCCTGTGTGTCTGTCGTGGCATGCGTGACGCGGAGTCTGGAGGTCATTGGCACCGACGTGCTGATTGGAGCCGACATTGTGGCAGGTGTTGGTGGCGTACAGCTCAGCTACGACGACAACGGTGTGCTGGACGGAGTGCGCTTTGGTCAAGCGAAGGAGCCTGCCGTTGTTGCCGCAGCCGCCGACAAGCATCCGTCGCGCCGTGTGACTGTCGAGCAGGACGGAGATGACGTCACCCTGTCGCCGGATGACGGTCAAGTCTGCTGGGACTGCGTCGCACAGCGTTGGATGCTGACATGGGCGTGGGAAGACCAGCAGCCGACAGCTCCTGTTGGGTCCGGCATTGGCCAGTATGCGCGGAACAAACTCACGGCGGAGCAGGTGTCGCTATACTATGACGAGGTCGACTCCTGGGTGAAGAACGGCTGCTTGTTGAGCACGATCCGGCAGTCCATGGCGAGCCTGTTGCCCTTGCTGGCGAAGGCGCAAGAGCACAAGAGTTCCACGCCCGTCAGGCCTTGCCTGGACTATCGTGGTCTGAATTCGCTGATCAAGTCCAACCCAGGCACCGATGCCCCGGCCTGTGCAGAGAAGATCCGGAAATGGCGGTCAAGCTGCGACGCGGATTATCAGCTGGTCGACATCCGCAAGGCCTATCTGCAAGTGCACGTTGACCCGTCACTGTTGCGCTATCAAGTCGTCGTGTGGAACGGGAAGATGTATGTGATGACGCGCATGGGATTCGGTCTCTCCATCGCGCCTAAGTTCATGGACATGATCGTGCGCTGGGTCACGCGGAAGTGGCCTGGAGTCGACAATTACGTTGACGACATCCTGATGCCGGCGCAGATCCGCGAAGCCGTGGCTGCGGAGCTGCTACGCTATGGCCTGCCGACTAAGCCTGCCGAGTCTCTGCCGTCTGCCCGCGTGCTTGGCCTACAGCTGTCCACTTCGGCGGCCGACGTGGTCAACTGGGCACGCCGCGACGGTGTCGACCTCAGCTTCGACCGTCCGCTGACGAAGTGTGGCGTGTTCAAGTGGACTGGACGTCTGACCAGCCACTACCCGGTGTGTGCCTGGCTTTGTCCGGCCTGCGCGTGGCTCAAGACGCTCGCATGCGCGGGGGATCACTGGGATGTTGCCGTGTCCGGCGCTACCGTCCGGTGCTGCGAGGACCTAGAAGCGAAGGTCGCAAGCAGAGATCCAGTACACGGCGTGTGGAGCGTCCCGTCGACGGCTGTCGGCGACTGGGCCGTGTTCTGCGATGCGTCTGACCTGGCAGTAGGAGTCGTCTTGCAGCTCGACGGCAAGGTCATCGAGGACAGCTCGTGGCTGAGAGACGCGAACGACAGCAAGCACATCAACGTCGCTGAGCTTGACGCCGCGCTCCGCGGCTTGACATTTGCTGCGGAGTGGAAGCTGGAGGCAGTTCGGCTGATCACCGATTCGAAGACCGTGTTCGGATGGCTGGAACAAGTAGTCGGCAACGTCTGCCGTGTGAAGGTGAGCGGTCTTCAAGGTACTCGTCCAGCGCCGCCTTCAAGTCATCGAAGACCTGGTTGAGTCGACCGGCTTAGCTGTCAAACTGGAGTGGGTCCGATCCGAGCATAACCCGGCCGACCGGCTGACCCGCGTGCCGTCGGAGTGGTCAAAGTGTCAGAAAACGGCAGCCAAGGAAACCGCCGTCGGAGCCGCCACTGTTCCAGCGGTAGTCGGCCCTGTGCCGAGAGAAGAGATCGCTAGGGGTCAGCTTGTTGATGCTGACATTGATTCCGCTACTGAGCTGATCGAGGCTGGCACGCCTGAGTTGATTGCCGGTCCGTTCAAGAAAGTCAGCAAGTAGCTCGTGATCAACGGTGGCGTCCTTTGCCGAAGCGTCAAACTGCCCGTTGAAGGCGTGGTAGCGGTGCCCGTGATCCCGACCAAGCTTGTCCCGAAGGTCGTAAAAGCCGCCCATTGCGCATCTGGACATGCCAGTTGGGGCGTGATGTACGAGATGCTACGCAGTCGCTGTTACTTTCCGTCAATCGCCGAGAGCTGGCAGAGTCACTGCCAAAGCTGCGAGCGATGCAGAGCAGCCAGTGGGCAGAGAGGGCCAGCATCGCCGCAGGCCAGAACGGAAGTCCCAGGCCGCCCGTGGAGTGTCGTGCAGATCGACACGCTGGAACTTGGTGCGGAGAAGAGCGGCAAGTTTAACTGCGTGCTTATCTGTATTGATGAGTTCAGGAAGTGGGCTGAGGTTGTGCCTCTTCGCCGTCACAACGCGGAGTGTGTCGCCGCCGCGTTCACGACAATCTGCTGCCACTGGGGTTCGTCGGACATCGTTCGCATGGACAATGGCACGGAGTTCAGGAATGCCGTCTGCGATGCCCTCTTCCAGCAGTTCGGCATGGAAGTCAGAACCGGAGCGGTGCGACGCCCGCAGTCCCAAGGAGCTGCGGAGCGTATGAACAGGACACTAATCACCTTGATGCGGAAGGTGCTGTTAGAAGCGTCTGACTGGAAGTCTGAGCTGGAGCTCCTCCTCCTCTACTACAGGACGCGCCTGCACTCTGCAACCGGCGTTGCATTGATGGTTGCCATGACTGGCTGGCTGCCGCGAGATCTCATCGTTGCAACTGATCAGGGGGTGTGTAGCCTCAGCGCATGGGTGACGCGGCTAGGAGAGCGGACAGCCCTTCGTGACCTCGTTGAAGCAGAGTTCTCTACGACCGATTCTGTCGTCGAAGTCTCTGAACAGTCGGCTTATGACGTAGGAGATGCCGTCCTGCTCCGTCAGCCGATACGGCAGCGCAAGCTGGCGCTGCGTTACGAGACCGGGTGGATGGTAAAAAGAGTCGTGGGCACCTCGACCTTTGACATCCGACACGTGAATGGCGGGGAGAAGGTTATCAATGCTGACCTTCTGAAGCCCTCGCCATC